CTCTGCCACAGACTTTCCCAGCTCACTAAGCCCTATTACCTCTTCAGCTTCCGACACCTGCTCTTCCAGTCTTCTCCCTCTGACAATGCATTGTTGTCCAATCACTACTCCCTGGGCTCTGAGCCCGCCCACTCTGTTTCCAGCCAGCCCTTGACCATGGATGGTAATGTTTTGCCTACCATATTCAGAGGATCTGCACTCACAAAACAGAGTTCACTCTTTGTATATAATCTAGTAGGGGTAGCCAATGTGGAGCCCTTAAATATTCTTGGACTACACTCTCATCAGGCTCAGCCAACCTGTCCAATGGTTGAGGATTTGATTATTTATTTCATAAAATCTATACGCTGCTTTGATTAAAAAAAAACCACAACTCAAAGTGGCTTACAAAAAGATAAAACAAGGAAATCCAGACAAAATTACAATAAAACTTTAAAACATACAAAAGTTGAAATACTGAAACAATATAATCCTCAACTTTCTAAGTATCTGGGTAAGGTTGCCTAAACGTGAATGTTTTTAGCAGGCATCAAAAAGAGAACTGTGGATTCTCAATAGGCAGGGACCTCCCAAGTTTAGGTGCTGTCACACAAAACGATCGAGTTCTTACAAATGTGGAACAAATACTTTCATTGCTATGTAATAGATCGGGGGAGCGTTTCTGGAGAGTAGAAAATGTAGGGGTTTATTGTTTTTTGTTTAACACAATTAACACCCCGTTGCCCCAATCCCTAATCCCAGAATACTATTTTAGAGCTGAAGAAGGTCAATTTCCTCTGTCCTCTTCTCCCTCCTGACACCCCAATGAACTGTGGGTTCTGTAAACTCACAATAACTTCTGTATCCAACTTGGTTTTTAATGACTTTTTCTTTACATTTGCAAACTGATATATTTCTGCACACCAGACACTACCCCAAGTCTACAGAAGCACCTTATTTTTGGGGTGGTCCTGTTTCATTTCCAAACTACTGTGAAGCTTGGTATTATTAGAGGGAATTACTAACCCCTTTCTCTAGAACTGTAAGAGAAAAACCCGTTGTTCACTCAGTTTTTATGCAGATCATTATAGTCCAGTGTTTTCTGTGTTCTTCTCCTGTTTTCCTTTGCCTTCAGAGCTTCCTGCTTATAAAATCAGACTGTTTTATTGATTCCTGTCGAGTTTGGCTGAGGTGTTACTGATCAATACATCCTAATTGCACCTTGAGTAGCCCATTCATATCAGTTTCTTTCCGACAAGAGATGAGTTTTACTTAGTTATTTCTTCCCATTTTTCTTCTTCATTTTTTAAAAGTGAAAGATCACTATTTCACAATATAAACATTAAAGAACCAAGAATAGAAAGGAATCATAAGAACAGGAACTGATGTCAAAGGGCAATGAAGAAGTGATAGAATAACAGAACCATAGGGTTGGGAGGGATCCCAAGGGTCATCTAGTCCAACCCCCTGCAATCTCAGCTAAAGCATCCATGGCAGATGGCCATCCTACCTCTGCTTAAAAACCTCCAAGGAAAGAGACCCCACAACCTCCCAAGAGAGTCTATTCCACTGTCAACTGTCAGAAAGTTCTTCTTGACATGCATAACACAGACTAGTGTGATATCACTGCAGAGGCATGAAATATGAGAATAGCAGATTTTGAGTATTTCCTACCAACTGTCCAAGATCACAGCCACTGTCGACATGCAGAGGGCCAGTAGGCCAGCTGGCAAGCCCCAGCTGTGCCGTCTCCTTCCATCGGCCCGTGCTCCGACGTAAATCAGAGACCTGGGCTTCACAGCCAGGGCACACTATCAGCAGAGAGAACTGCACACACAGAATAGGCGTGAGGCTTGTGGAAGCATACTACAACTACAGATTTATTAATCATAAATCAGGACAAAGAAACATGTCTCTCTCTCATGTCGTCTCAGAGAGAACGGGAAGAGCAAAAGCTATACACAACGGAAGTTCCCAGCATACTGTGCTGGAATGTAAACAGACATGTGACACGTAACAATTCCACACATCTGTTCCTTAAGGTGGAATAGAAATCTCAACAGCCACACCTTACTGGGTACTGGTGAAGAGAAAGAAAGTGCATTGTTATTGTGGCCCCTAGTGTGGATATTCACAATGCTGTGTGTGTGTGTGTGTGTGTGTGTGTGTGTTAAACATCTGGTTTGTGCACATTTCAGTATTTTTACAGCACAGAGAGAAATCTCACCATGGACAGCTGGATAACTCAGTGCTGATAATAATGCCAAGGTTGCAGTTTCAATCCCTGTATGGGATAGCTGTATTGCAGGGGGTTGGACAATAATGACCCTTGGAGTCCCTTCCAACTCTGCAATTCTACGACTCGACCTTTCTCGCCCCTGTGGCTGCAAAGCTTAGCTTGAAAAAATGTGTAGAAAGTGCCTGGTGACATCTCAGAAGCTAGAGGGTGGTCTGAGCAGGACTTGTCGTGGTCAAGGAGGAGAGGGTTAAGGTTCCCACTCTGCTTTTGACACTCATTCAGATGCTGAACCAGATATAATGGCTGGGCTTGCACTCCACAGCACACTATGCCCAACCATGTTGTTGTTGTTTAGTTGTGTCCGACTCTTTGTGACCCCATGGACCAGAGCACGCCAGGCACTCCTGTCTTCCACTGCCTCCCACAGTTTGGTCAAACTCATGTTGGTAGCTTCAAGAACACTGTCCAACCATCTTGTCCTCTGTCATCCCCTTCTCCTTGTGCCCTTCATCTTTCCCAACATCAGGGTTTTTTCCAGGGAGTCTTCTCTTCTCTTCTCTTCTCTTCTCTTCTCTTCTCTTCTCTTCTCTTCTCATGAGGTGGCCAAAGTATTGGAGCCTCAGCTTCACAATCTGTCCTTCCAGTGAGCACTCAGGGCTGATTTCCTTCAGAATGGATAGATAGGTTTGATCTTCTTGCAGTCCATGGGACTCTCAAGAGTCTCTCCTCCAGCCCTATGCCCAACCATGGCATAGTGCAAATGGCTGGCACCCAAGGAGGAGATCCCTGCCCCTCCTCATGACTTGTAGAGGGAGACCTAATTATGCAGGCTAAACAAATCTATACAAATTTGCACCACTGATTCATGTCACAGAATCCTGCTGCTCTTGATGCCACATTTGCATTCTATGGGTGTAAAGATTTCTGACACACACACCCTCAAACATGATGCAAAACACACACACACACACACCAAAAAAACCACTTCCAGCTGCCTCAAAGAAGCATCCTTGAGCATCTGAGTTATCCCTCCATTGCTGAGCCTCACCTGATGGACCAGTCTTGTACCATTGTACCTGATGAAGTGGAGAGCAAGCGCAGGGGAGTTTCTCTTGCCCCCTAAAGTCGGCCTCTTTCTCTCTGCGGCTTAAGTCCCATTGTTTCCCAGAAGCAGACTGCGTTGTATGTGCTCTCCCTGTGGCGTGCCAGCTCCCCAGACATGCGGGATAAAGAAGGCTTCATTGCTATGCACAGGCGCCTCATTCCCCTCCTGCCATCCCTTTCACCGCCCCGAACTCCTGTCCAGCAGCCAAACAACAACCTTTTCATTCTGTTCCAATGGGCGACATGGATTAAAAGACTCGGGAGCTGGCAAGCAACTACTTTGGCCTCTGTGCGCCAGGAGAGGGGACTTTGGCTGCAGCAGGCCAGGGACAAGGGGGGTCCTGCTCATCCCAAGAGTTGTAGGGTTGTAAAACTCCGAGGGGACAGCACACCCGTCACCGTGGCGCTGGGGATGGGTTGACATGTGCGTGGGGCAGCCATGTCACGTTATGGATGGTGTACAAGGTTGGGCAAAGGCACAAGTGTCTATATGGCAGCAAGCCTGTGAGTGTGTGGGTGTGAACACTAGCAGGCGTGGAACAGTATTTGCAGCGTCCAAAAGGGCAGTTAGGGCTAAATGCTCTGATCTGAATGGTTTAAAATTGGATGGGGGGCACCTAGGGGTGAGGGAGACCATGGATTCAGCTTGCATTTAAAAGCGAACTCAAACTCATGTTCACTTTCCAAAACGATGCACAAACTGAAACTCATCCACCCTTTGCAACGCACACTTCTCGGAATTTTGCGGTACATGGGACTACAACTCCCATCATCCCTAGCTAACAGGACCAGTGGTCAGGGATGATGGGAATTGTAGTCCCCAAACAGCTGGCGGGCCAAGTTTGGCCACCACTGATGTAATGTGTACAGAAATGCATCTATGCTAAGGGGAAGTGTGCATATAAAATGCATGTTGGTGAAAATAACAAAGGGAAATGTGTTATATTGGGGAAACATGCCCTGGCAAAAACATGCGTATTAAGGGAAATTGCGTACAAAAAACGGGAGAAATTCACATAAAAATGCGGTTGAATTTTCACAGGGACTTTAGAAACAATAATGCGGGGATGCGGCAAAGTGAATTTAGAACTGGAACTATGAGAATCACAACCCGCGCACATGCAGACGCAGGTTGCGTTCTGCTCAGGATGCGAACGGGGCTCTGGAATGGATCCCGTTTGCATCCAGAGGTACCACTGTATCTCCTTTCTCCATGAGCCTGGGCAGCCCCTGAGTTGTTGGTTCTTTGGTGGTGGGGGGGAAGCGGTGCATGGTGGGTCAGGCATGGAAGGCGGAGAAGGAGGGCCGAGAGCGGCAACAGTAGCGAGGCTCGGGCAGTGCAATGCCTCCCTTCCCATCAGAGCAGCCCCAATCCCATACCTACTTGCGTGCAAGCAGGAGGGGGCGCGGATCCCTCAGCTGGGAAGCGATTTCACACTGCCTTTCGGAGCAGCCCCATCCCAACTCCTACTTGTGTGCAAGCAGGAGGGGCAGGGATCTCTCAGGCAACGTGATGCCTCCTTTCTCTGAGCCTGGCCTTGGGGGGGATACAAATAAAATAATAATAATAATAATAATAATAATAATAATAATAATAGTGACTTGGCCATTCTGGAATTTTCTTGAGGAGTAATTTTTTTTTTAAACCCACCACGTGAGAGATGTGCTTTCTTCGGAGCTTGTATGAGAGCACGGTGCCCCCATAACACACATTTTTGGGCGCCATGTAAAAAAGCCAGATATCCCAGTTTTATCAGAGCAGCTGAGGGATACAAGAGAGACCTTCCACTTGGAATTGCAACCCTTAGTCACCCACGAGGCCGGGCCACGATCCCAGGTGTACCCCCTGGAATCCCTCACTGGGTCACGTACCCCCTTGTGGGAAGGGGGTCCAAAAGCCTTGGGCCTGCTCCGCTTCTCAGAAGAACCTTCCAAGGCCGCTTTTAAACGATGGCTTTTTTTCTCGTTCGTTTTGCTTTTCTTTTGTGTACCCAACCCCTTCCCAGGCCGGGGCTTTCAGGGACTGCGTGTTCCTGCAGCGGACCGCACTCCTCGCGGCAGAGCCGGCAGGGGGTATCAATCTTGCCACGACGAGCATGAAAACGGGACACCTTGAGACAGCGGCCAGAGCACAGAGCTCCTTGTGTTCTCGGCCAGGGGCTGGCGGCGTGGCCTCGGGCCCATTAATAAGGCCCTTTTGTGGGGATGACGGCTCCCGGCTCCAGAGGGACGCGCAGGGCTTGGTCAACAGAGGCTGCTTTCGCCAGGGGAGGGGAGGCCGAGCGAGGGGTTAGGGGGCTGGGAACCTGGCTGTGGGCCAGAGGTGTGGCAGGCGAGGCCATAAAAAAAATTAAGGTTTGGAGGCGGCTGGCCTGGCAACTACGAATGCTCCCCCTGCCCTGTGCGACTGCAATGGCGTCTGGGGTGTGCCCAAGGCCTGTCCTCAGTTGAGATGCCGTGGCAGCGAGGCTATCGTTAAATAAGTTGGAGTTCTTGTTATTAAATATACCAAGAAAAAAGCACACCAAGAACTCAGGCCAATATAAGTTTCAGTAGTGGGAGTCGTATCTACTCGCAAATCAGTAGTCAATTGTAAGAAAAATTAATCCATTCAAAAGTATGGATTCTGACAAGGATTACAAACTCAAATAGAGATTACAAATTCAAACACAGATTACAAACTCAAACTCATAAGGATATGCATAACACAGTAATTCATTACAGAATTAGAGATAAGAGTTTATGAGTAGAGATAAGTTCATGTTAGTCCATACTGTAGTCAGATTCGAAGTGAAGGTCTTAGTTTCAATCATTGAGCAGAAGTCAATTATGGGTCAGAAACTAGGACAGGGGCCTGTTTCGATGTATATACCTTCATCAGCTAATTTTTAAGGGGTCGTGTAAGTTTGAAGAATTCGTATAAATATATCCTGTTACTTTCTACATTTCTCAGAGATAACAACTAAGTGTGGTTAGATCAACATGTATCTTAAGCTTTTCTGTGAGAAACGTGAGTTTGTAATCTCTGTTTGAGTTTGTAATCTCTATTTCACATAATCCTCCTTACAAAACTTCTTGCAGCGTGATCTGTTTGTTACAATTGCTTTTCAGATAATGCAAATATTTACTCCAGTCCTCTGAGAATCTCTGGTCCCGCAGGTTTTCAATCCTTCCTGTCATCTTATCTAATTCTGCATAGTCCGTTAATTTCATCTGCCATTCTTCTTTCGTCGGTAATTCTTCTTGTTTCCATTTCTGTGCCAGTAATATTCTTGCTGCCGTTATTGCATATAAAAACAATTTACTATTCTGTTTGTTAATATCCTCCCTCAATGATAAGCATCCTAAGGAGCCCAAGGAGAAAAGGCCACATTGCCTCCCCCCACTACTCCCCTGTACAAAGGTTCCCAGCCTTGCACATGGGTGTAGCCAGGGGTTTTGTTAGGGGTGGCGGGACTTATGTTAGGAGGGGCAGAACTGATGTGATTGGTCGGTTAGTTAAACATTTCTCTTGTTTTACTTGATGTGGGGAGGGGGGACTGCCCACCCCACCCCACCCGCTTGGCTGCACCCATGCCCTTGCACAATTACCGTATTTTTCGCTCCATAAGATGCAGTTGACCATAAGACGCACCTAGTTTTTAGAGGAGGAAAACAAGAATTAAAAAAATATTCTGAACGAAACAGTGGATGTATGGTCTTTGTGGTTCATGCTGTGGCCACAGACATGATTTGTGATTTGACGGTGAGTTTGGGGTAGCCCAATGCAAAAATCCTGAGGATCCATGTGGATCCGTGCTTTGCGCCATTGCAGCCCCACACAACAGTGGGTGCGTGGTTTTTTTGGTGCAGGCTGTAGCCATGGGCGTGCTATGTGATCTGATCGTGAATTTGGGGTGACCCAATGCAAAAATCCCGAGGATCCATGGGCTTTTACCTCCCGCCTCCCAGGCAGCCTCCTTTATCTCTAGCGTCCCTTATCTCCCTCCTGTTCGCTTGCCGATCAGCTGCTATCTTTCAACACCCCCTTCCCACTTGTTTGACTTAGTGTCTTTTCCTTAGCTGAAGCAGTTTTTTGCTCCTCCTTTTCTTCCAATTTCTCTCCTCATTGCTTGTTTTAGTATTCCTGTGCCCTCTGCTTGCAACTTCGCTGTCTTTACCTCCCCCTCCCAGGCAGCCTCCTTTATTTCTAGCGTCCCCTTACTTTTTAGGAGGAAAAAAGTGTGTCTTGTGGAGCAAAAAATACGGTAAATGTTTTTGGTCACAGAGGCTGGAGGTTTCCGGGAATTAGGAGGGGGAATTCTTGACAAAAGAGAGTCGTATTTTGTTGCTCTACTTTGCCCATCAGAGCCTTAAAGAGTTCTGTCAGCTTAGAAGCAAAGACTGACACTCAGCTCTGAGACACAACATCAAACTGCAGATAATTGGGGGGCGGGCGGGGGGGGAGATGCTTTAACCACTCTACTCTGCAGCCCTCTCTGAGCCAGGAATCTAGGAGTCTGCTTTAATCACCCTCTGCCCTTCCTCCTGATCTCCATCTACACGCAAACCTCTAAAGTTCAAAATTCTCCTTTCTGAGCTGGGAACCTGCCACAGAGAACCTTGGTTCTTCAAATAACTAGTTAGGATGACATTTGTCCCAAGCTTCACCTGATTTCTGTGAAGCAGGCAGTGCCTCTGAACATGTGCAGAGTGCTCCTTGGCAACCAGACCCTTGCACCTTAGCATGGAGGGCAGCTAAGTGAGGGGGTGCAGCTTTCAGGCAAGTGTTAGCTGCTCTGCTCCCCTCTGTTTATAAAACTCTTTAAACCCATCATCTCTGCCTCCCCCCCCCCCAAATCTCCTCCAGCCTTGTCTCCTCTAAACAGCCCTAAATGCATTTCCTGCTGACGCGTCAAGCTGAAAAGAAATCCAGAAGTTTGCGGGAAAGAGTTTTTGGAATTTGCTGTCTTTAAAGAACCACTGGAGTGGAAAGCCAGTCAGGGGCTTTGAAGAGACATTTAATTGAAATCTTTCTTAATTAGCGTCTCAGCTGCCTGACTCAACCTGCCTCTGAGATGAATCAAAGATCTGTCATTTGGGCGCTTTTGGTAAGAACAGGCAACAGATTACCGAGGAAAAGGCAGCTGTGTGCTATGCTTCATGTCTCAAAAGATGCTGAAACACCAAGTGGAAGATAATACTTTCTGCCATGGAAGCCCTTTCCGTCCAGACACTTTGAGAGCTAGCTGCAGAAAGTTACTCAGTGGGAAAGACACTCTGCACAAGCACAGGGGCACCCTTATCTTTTTTCTTTACCTTTCCCTTGAGCATATGTAAAGTGCCTTTTCTTTTTCCAGTTAAATTTTTCTTAAATTTTCAAAAAAAATTCACATATACACTCCAATACATAATAATTTTTTTTCTTTTGCTTTGTCAACTTCCTACCCCGTTCTCCATGGTGTTTTTTATTTCTGCCCCTTGCTGCACCCTATCCTCTCTCTCTTATCCCATAATAACAATATGGTAATCTCTAATTCCTTCTGCTGTTCATAGTTCAAATCCTGCTGGCGAATTCATCATACTATAGTATTTCTTTAAACAGTCCGAAAAAGGCTTCCATTATTCTTCAACCAGACAATCATCATTGGGTTCTCTTATTTTAGCTGCCAATTCTGCATAATCCATCGCTTTATTTATCCATTCTTCTTTGCTGGTAGCTACTTCTTCCTTGCCAACAAAGGTCTGTATAGTAAAAGCTATGGTTTTCCCAGTAGTGATGTATGGAAGTGAAAGCTGGACCATAAAGAAGGCTGATCGCCAAAGAATTGATGCTTTTGAATTATGGTGCTGGAGGAGACTCTTGAGAGTCCCATGGACTGCAAGAAGATCAAACCTCTCCATTCTGAAGGAAATCAGCCCTGAGTGCTCACTGGAAGGACAGATCCTGAAGCTGAGGCTCCAATACTTTGGCCACCTCATGAGAAGAGAAGACTCCCTGGAAAAGACCCTGATGTTGGGAAAGATGGAGGACACAAGGCGAAGGGGACGACAGAGGACGAGATGGCCGGACAGTGTTCTCGAAGCTACCAGCATGAGTTTGACCAAACTACGGGAGGCAGTGGAAGACAGGAGTGCCTGGCGTGCTCTGGTCCATGGGGTCACAAAGAGTCGGACAAGACTAAACGACTAAACACCAACAACTTCTTCCTTCCATTTTTGTGCATAGAGAATTCTGGCTGCTGTTCTTTACATACATAAACAGCTGAATCGTCTTTTTTTGGAACTTCTGTCCCTATAGCTACTAAGAGAATAGCTTCAAGTTTGGGGGAGGGTATTATCACTTTTTTATCTCATCATATATCATTTCCCCTAATCCCCTCGCTTTCTTACAAGTCCACCACATCAGAGTGCCTTTTCTTGACCACTGAGTAACCACTGCTTACACTATTATATCTGGGATCGGGAGATGAGAGGTCTATATCAAGAGATATGGCTCTCAGGCAGAGTTGATTCCAAATACAGCACTTGTCTTGATGTGCACTTGGTGTACAGCACATTGGCTAATCTCCCTGCGAACAAATAAGAATGAATGTTGAATAAACAGGTTGTCTGGAAGCAGCCCTGTTTTGCTTTTTCCTAGAACCTCAGTGTCCACCAGGTACAGCCAAGTGCGAAATAGTGGCTTAGAGTGCGGATATACTTAGAATTAAGGAAGAAGGCACCTCTGACTACATCTTAGTACAGGTATTTGTTTTGAGTTTTTGAGCTCACATTCATTTCCATATAAAAATCCATGCCTGATTTTCCCTACCCCTTGCTTTGTTTCAGCAGCCTAATTTAGTGAATCGTTTTTATTGATTTTCCAAATTTTACCAAATCAGCCACAAATTAAGACAAATTGAATTCAACTTTTCCAAAATTTGCTTTCCCGCACTCCGTTCTTGGTGTGTCCAAAGTTTCCTCTTGCTTCTGCTTTATTTTCTTAGTTGTTTCTAGCTCACATTCCATTTCTTACAGTTAACCTTATAGTACAATAGTTTTTGGGTTTTTTAAAATTTATTTATCCTTAACCATCAGCCAATTCCTGCACATACAATATTTCAACATTTGCAATATCAGCCAGTTGCTATTGTGAAACAACTGGGAATCATGAATGCTTTATGAGCTACCACAAATCTCCTGAAATCCTGGATCTACCGTCTGCCAGAAATTGGTGTTCAGAATTTACATCACTGGCAGACTTAAGGCCTGGGAGCCTCTCTAGATCTAAGCATTTTGTGTAAAACGCCTGGTTGTTTTGGTCATACAGAACAGCATGCAAAGGAGTGACATTTGTTGTGTGAACGAGCTCTCTGGACAAAAGTAGGTTTTGCATTTTCACAAACCACTTTGGCAATCTGGTTTCGCTGCTGTGTTTTTGTCACGATCTTGCCTGTGATTCTGGGGCAAATGAGATGTTTCCCCCGCTGTTTCTTTTTCCATCTTTAGCAATCTCACGGCTGCCTGCCGTGTGTTGTCATGTCACTGCTGTTGTAGGGAGATCATGGCCATCATAGGTGAGCAAGGACTCTGACCTTGTAGCTCGTCCAAGAGCATTTGCTCTCTTCTCTCATCAAGAACGCTCAAAGCTTCTGCCTAATGGCTTTCTTTTGTTGCTTTGCCAGGGCACAGGGCACTTGGCATGGGAGATGTGAGATGTTAAGGCCTGGCGTGAACCCCATTCCCCCTCCCTCCTCCAGCCTTTCACACGCATATGCTCTGGCGATGGCTAACCCTCTTGTATAAAACCCCTTGCAGCCCACAGAAAGAAATCTGTCTGAGTTTGCAGAGCCTGGAGGAGAATCCTGATCATGGAAGGGCAACGGCTCTCATCCTACGGAAGGCGTTTTGGCGCGCAGACTTCCTCCATCCACCACGCCTTGAGGTTCTCCCCAGGGCGCAGGTACCTGTCTTCAGGCGCCGGCACTCGGCTCTCCGTCACCAAGCTGAAGACCTCCAGCCTCAGCTTCCGTGCTGGACCCAAGTTCTCCCCGGACAAGGTGGATTTTTCCCTGGCCGATGCCCTCAACACCGAATTCAAGGAGACCCGCACCAACGAGAAGGTGGAGATGATGGAGCTGAACGACCGCTTTGCTAGCTACATAGAGAAGGTCCGGTTCCTGGAGCAGCAGAACAAAGTCCTGGTGGCTGAGCTCAACCAAATCCGAGACAAGGAGCCCACCAAGTTGGCCGACATCTACCAGGAGGAGGTGAGGGAGCTCCGCCACCAGGTCGACCAGCTCACCAACTCCAAGGCCCGTCTGGAGATCGAGAGAGACAACCTGCTGGAGGACCTCAACAATCTCCGGCAAAAGTAAGGAAGGTCCAGGGTTTCTTTTCAAGTTTTGACTGGGCTGGGTGGGGTAAAAGGTAAAGGGACCCCTGACCATTAGGTCCAGTCATTGCCGACTCTGGGGTTGCGGCGCTCATCTCGCTTTATTGGCCAAGGGAGCCGGTGTACAGCTTCCAGGTCATGTGGCCAGCATGACTAAGCCACTTCTGGCAAACCAGAGCAGCGCACGGAAACGCCATTTACCTTCCCGCCAGAACGGTACCTATTTATCTACTTGCACTTTTGACGTGCTTTCGAACTGCTAGGTTGGCAGGAACAGGGACCGAGCAACGGGAGCTCACCCCATTGCGGGGATTTGAACCGCTGACCTTCTGATCAGCAAGTCCTAGGCTCTGTGGTTTAACCCACAGCGCCAGGGCTGGGTGGGGAGGCACCTGCAAATAGGGAATGAGGCAAGGAAGCAATATGCAGAAGCTTGGGGAACTGAGGATTTGGAGGAGATATCTCAGGGACATCCACGTTATGCATTTTAAACATGTGGGAACAGGGAATTTATCCCTCACGGAGCTACAGTTACCAGCACACTTTACGAATTCCAGTTACCAGGATTCTTGGGGGGATGGCATGTCCTTTAAACACATGGTGTGGATGGGTCCTTTGTGAGTGGGCTTTGCACACTCAAGGTCTTACTGACTGCCTTGTTTGGCTTTGGAATGGGATTTTTTCCCAGCAGGTCATATTGGCAAAAGAGTTTTGGGAGAGGTACATTGGCCTTCCTTTGTGGCACATGGCTAGGCTTGGTTGCTTGACCCATCTGGAGCAGGGAGTGTCAGATTGTGCATCTGGGGGTCCCTGGGGTTCCTCAGATGATTATTAGTTTTCCATTAAAAAACTGGTCATGGGAGATGAACTTCCCTTGGTGACAGCTTGCAGTCTTCCCTTCCAAGCCAGAGCTGCAGGGGAGTGGCATATAATCTATAGCACATTCTCTATTAACAGAAAAATATAATGAGGCCCAAGCATAGGAGCCAACGCCTAGGTGCCAAGGTCCCTTCGTCTTCCCCCAGTAAAATATTTGGGGTGGCAGGGCCTTCCCCAAGTTGATGGGCATTGCCATTCAATTGGTGTGTGTGCTCTGCATCTTGTGATTGATTCTGTGGGGTGGGGCTTACCTGGGGCCACCAATATTTCATTCAAGTTGGCTCCCTTGGGCCCAAGAGGTCTGGCCAGTATCCCATGTGAACGTGGAAAGTTTCCGTGAAGGCAGGAAGCCTGAAAACTGAAAAACTATTGTTATTTCTTCTATGGGCATTTGTTAATGATCTGCCAGCTCTTTGATTGCGGACTAGGTTCGCTTCCAGGGCTAGCCCTTTAGGTAAGGCAAATCCCTTGCCTCAGGCAGCAGACCAGGAGAGGCAACCTCTAACTACCTGCCAGTCCACTGCAAATTACCATAAGCCTGTCGGTTGTGTGGCATAGCCTCTAGGAGCACTCCTAAAGTAATCTCTGCCGTGCCAGTAGTAAGTTGTGTGAAGCGCTAAACAGTATTTGCCACTGCCCCCTTTCCAGGGTTTTGGCAGATCAACTCCACCCCCATGCTTCCTCCATGAGATATTGTAAGGAAAGATGGCCACAGAGTAAGGTTACCAGATTTTTTTCAAAGAATCCGAGGACACTTTTCCTTTTTTTTTGAAGAGAGAAAAAAAAAGTTATTAAAAAAAAGTAGTAATATCTTGTCTTCTGTGGTCTCCTCTGTCGCGCAGCCTTCCTCTGGGCCCCAGCCTGCTCTCTTTGAGCACTAGCCACCATGGAGTAGGCTCGGGTCAGGCCTGGGCTCGGCCACATGTCCTTGCCCTCCCAGTGCTCTCCTACCCGTCCTCCTTAGTGGTGGCACCAGCAGTGGCGCGGCAAGGTTGGGGCTCCCCTCTTTTTTTCTCCTTCGTCTTTCTCTCTATTCCTTCTCCTTCTCCTTCTCCCTGCATCGGCTCCAGGGCTTTCCTGGCCCCAGAGCGCCTCTGGGCAGTCAGCTGGGTGACTGGGCGCTCTCGCTCCTGGCTTGATTTGGGTCATGGGAGGGGGTCAGCGGTTCCCCCAGTTGACGTGCCAGGCGTCCCCAGTTCCCCCTCAGCAGTGGCAGCAGCAGTCTTAGCAGCCCAGTGCCAACCCGGTAGCGCTGTTGGCCCTGGCTGGCTTCAGGAGCTGCTCGCTGCTGTGGTGTCCGCCATTTTGCCTCGCTGGAAGTCCCCATATGACGTATCTTGTGCCGTTGAACCAATCACGCAACATTCATTCCCTACTAATAAATCTACAACACTTAAAATATAAATCTGGGGACATTAAATGAAATCCGGGGACGGATTTTGTCCGGGGACAGATTTGTTAATCCGGGAACTGTCCCTGGGAAATGGGGATGTCTGGTAACCATACCACAGAGGGTCTGGAATGCCTGGAATGCCACTGCTAATGTAACAGCAAAAATGACCACAAACACAAATAATTTTTTTAATGACCTCAGAGGAGCAGTGCTGGCTGGTGCCCGTTGAGGCTGGTAGGGTGGAAGGCAGGGAGCCCAACAGTAGGTGGTGCTAGAGAGCCAATGACATCCAAGTTTTGTCCCCATCCTCTTCCCTGCTGAGTTCTTCAAGGGCAAAACTGAGACAGAGGAGGAGGAATCAGATATCCAGAGCCACCCTCTGGACTGGATGTAAACACAAAGGCAGGTGGGCTTCCAGGAATCAAGATGGAGGTTGATGGGGCAGTGCCCCATATGCCATAATGGAGCAGCCTCCACAGTGGAGGAGGTAGGGGCAGCAACAGCACCAGGTGCCTCTAACAGATTAATGTTTTGTGCTAGCATCTGGTCCTGGGAGGGTGGTTCATCCCAACAGCTGTTGGCCATGGGATTGGATAGACCAGAGTCATAGAACTAGAAGAGATCACCTACTAGTCCAATCCCCTGCTTAGCGGATGATTGACAACACAGCATCCCTGACTGATGCCTGTGCAACCTCCCCTTAAAACTGCAGCCCAGGAGAGTCCTTCCTAATCTCTTATTCTTTAGAGCAAATGTAGAGACCTCCAGAAGTTGCTGAACTACATCATTCCTGGCCATGTTTGCTGGGGCTGATGGGGGTTGAACCTCAGCAACGTCGGGAGGGGTTCCCACACCCAGTGCTTTTTTCCCCTGGAGGTACTCAAAGTTACCCAATACCGGCACCTCCTTTTTCTAGCAGAGAAGCACTGGTTAAATGTGTGGCACTTACTGTAGCAACTTCATGGCAAGCTTGGCTCTGCGACCGTGGGTGCCATGCAGTGTGCATGGCCCTGGCACGGAAATTTGTGGGTGCCCAGTCCCTTCATGGAGAATTTTGTGGGTGCTCAGGCACCCAAGGCCCCAGGGAATTGGCATCTATGTTTCATGGTAAGTACTGTCACCGTTTCCCCCCGGAAGAAAAGCACTGCCAACATCTGCTTTAGAAGACCTCCCTGAGACGAACAGTTACCAATGTGAGAAAATCTGAATTTAGCAACAAGGAGGCACAGATCCATCCATTTGGGTGGACATTGAGACATGCGCACACCAGCTTGATCAAATGCGATCCCCGGGAACTCTCATTCAAGGTTGAAAATTAGGGGTTTGCTGTGTGACAGACAATTTTAAAAAGCAGGTGAGGCAGGAGTTGCAGGCCAGCTAGCCACTGGTCTGGTTGCCTGTGGTAAGAAATCAACTCTATACAATTAACAGGAAAGGTTTCCAAAAGTTGCATATTTTATTGTTTGAGGCCACAAGTGAGTAACACAAAGATGTGGGCCAATAAATATGGTTATGGGTTAGTATAGTGTTTATGGGCTTAACTGCAGGTGGAACATCTAATAGCTCCTGGGGAGATGGAGAGATGAATTCTTCCTTGCAGCATAGGAAGGATCAAGTAACATTACCTCTTACTTAGCATCCAAGCTACGGACCTGTGACATAGCCAGCCCCAAAGCTTTTCCACCAATATCCTCTCTCCATTTAATAGCACTAAAGCACTCAGGTGCAGAGCTGGCAACCAGCGCTAGTGTTCCAATAACAGCGCAGGCCCAGGGTAGCCGAGACTTCTAGATTTTGTTGGACTCCAGCTACTATGAGCTCCAGCTGGTATAGTGTATTCCTAACAAGATCAGCAAATAAAACTGCCAATATCATAATACTGTTGTGCAAATCGATCATGTGGTTGTGTGTACAGTCCGGGTTGCCACGCCTTAAAAAGGAGATTGTAGATTTTACATAGTTTGGAGAACGTGGATAGAGAGAAGTTCTCCTCCGTTTCTCATGACGCTAGATCCCACGGTCATCCGATGAACTGGCTGTTAGAAGATTCAGGAGAGACTGAAGGAAATGTCTTTCCATGCAGTGGTGGTCACCAACTTGGAAGGTTTTAAATGGGGGTACAGACAAATTCATGGAGGATTAGGCTTTCAGCGGCTACTAGAGATGGCCACGCTTTGCCGCCGCTGTCAGAGACAGTATGTGCCTCTGAATACCAGTTTCTGGGAATCTGAAATGGGGAGATGTCAGGGACCGGACTGAAGAGGAGGAGGAATGGTGGAGATCACCCACCCCCTTCTCCTGTAGCTGCCAGAGAAGAGAGAGGCAGTATTGAATTACAGCAGAACTATGAGGGAGATAACAGCTCAGAGACAAGTGAACGGCAGAGTTATGAGGTGTTAGGCGAAGGGGGGGCAGTGCAACCAGTCAACACGTCATCAGAGTCGTCTTACCCATAAAGGCGAGTGGTGTGGGGTGCCAGGGAGGCAAGTTCTGGAGGGCACCAGGGAAGAGGTGGTGGCTGGACGTGGTGCCTCCCGGCACCAGCTCGCCGCCCTCGCCCGCCTCCACCATGCCACGCTGAAGCAGCGCCACACCCGGAGCCTCCACCTGCCATGGCCACAACGGCACGAAGCAGCCAGCTGAGCCGGGAGCCGCCGCGTCCAGCCTCTGCTTCTTCCCCGCCGGAGGAGCTGCCCTCCAGCCGCTGCCCGCCTCCTCCAGCCCCACAAAGCTGGGTGCATCACTGGCAGCACCATCCTCCCTAAAAAAGGTTGGCAACGCAGGGCGGGGGCGCCAGAGGGATCTTTGCACTACGGCGCCGGATATGCTTAAGATGGCCCTGCATGTCATTAGACAGCATAGATGATCCACCGTCCCCTACAACGCAGCTTTCGTTAAGAGTGCAAGAGCAACGGACGCAGAAACATTTGACCACCGGGGGCCACCGTAGGGCCAGATGCTGTTGCTAGAGAGAGAAGTTGGAGGGGCTCAGAGTGAACAACTCCATCATGGAAGAATGACTGGATTCTTTGTCTTCTACCGTGATCACTGAATAAATAAATCTTGTTTCCTCCCTGCTTCTTTAAACCATCGGAGGAGGGAGAGAATTCCTCAAGCCTGACAGGAGAGTGTTGTTGTACTCCTGCTGGTTGGCTCCCCAAGGGCGGTTGGCCCCCAGGAGAACAGAGTGTTGGCCCTTTAATCTGATCCTGCAGGACTCTGTTCTTATGCTAATATTATCCCTTCTTTTGTTATTGTTATTTTGTTGTATTAATTGCATGCAAAGCCTGAAGGGTTCAAAAACTTGCAATTAAACGGCGCAGAATTAGAAAAGGTCTGAGGGCCTCGTGCAGGCTTTGACCTTGACATATTTCTTTCCCTTGGTTTCAGCCCCTTGCAGAAGGGAACCGATAATTCAGCACAGATTCCTGATTTTCCCATCTCTCTCTCTCTCTCTCATTTAAGGTTACAGGACGAGATTAATCAGCGCCTTGAAGCTGAGAACAATTTGTCTTCCTACCGACAGGTGAGGCGGAAAAAATGACGAATCCCATCCTGGAACTATGGGCAGAGAATGCAAGATGGCCTTGTAGCTTGTAACTGATCTGAAGTAGTTTCCTCCTTGCTACATCATGTGCATGCATGTATGTGTCTCGTGGAACGGCTGTAGTTGGGCCATCTGTAGCACATGCCAGGGCAACCCACTTATTATTATTATTATTATTAATAATAATAATAATAATAATAATAATTTATTATTTATACCCCGCCCATCTGGCTGAGTTTCCCCAGCCACTCTGGGCGGCTCCCAATCAAGTATTAAAAACAATACAGCATTAAATATTAAAAACTTCCCTTCAGATGTCTTTTAAGGATTGGATAGCTACTTATTTCCTTCACATCTGAAGGGAGGGTATTCCACAGGGTGGGCGCCCCTACCGAGAAGGCCCTCTGTCTGGTTCCCTGTAACCTCACTTCTCGCAATGAGGGAACCACCAGAAGGCCCTCGGTGCTGGATCTCAGTGTCCAGGCTCAACGATGGGGGTATACAGGACCGAGGCCGTTTAGGGCTTTAAAGGTCAGCACCAGCACTTTGAATTGTGCTCGGAAACGTACTGGGAGCCAATGCAGATCTCTCAGAACCGGTGTTATGTGGTCCCAGCGGCCGCTCCCAGTCACCAGTCTAGCTACCGCATTCTGATTAGTTGCAGTTTCCGGGTCACCTTCAAAGGTAGCCCCACGTAAAGTGCATTGCAGGGGCGAGAGAGCATGCAAGAGGTCCCATTTTCCTCCCTGTACATGACCGTAAGGGCCAAAACAGATAAAATGTCCCTCATTCTCCCCTCTCATTTCTTAGGACGTTGATGATGCTGCGTTGGCCCGGATAGACCTGGAACGTAAAATTGAATCACTTCAAGAGGAGATCAACTTCCTAAAGAAGATCCACGAGGAGGTATGGAGTACAGGGCCGCCAAGCTGAAGCTCCTCCATCTTGAAAGGCAGTTGGGGTAACAGGCCGGATTGAAGGCCCAGATCCACAGCGTGGCTTGTGCTCTGTTTTCCCTTTAACGCCTGCCAAAAAACAACAACCAGCCATGTTTCCTGCGAGAGGGAGAGAGACATACTGAAAACTGGTTATTCAGTCCCATTGCTGGGAAAGCCAACTGACTCTTCTCTTCATCTGGCTCAGAGGCTCTGGGTTCTTAACTGCATTTTTGTGAGGCTCGTTTTTAATGGTGTTTCTCATTTTCATTGTATGTTAACAGGACTGAATTTCACTTTATGGGCCATTCAGGTTGAAATGCAGCTTGCAAATTTTAACACAAGCAAGCAAACAAACCTAGACCTTTGATCCTGGAGATGTTATATTTCCCATGTATTCCTAAAGGTGTCCAGGTTTCCTACTATGGCACATCTTCCCTCCACACACAAAGGAGGCAAAAACATGTCCACTCGATCTAAACAATGAGCACGGAGTGCCCGGCACTGCTTAGGATCATAAGAAGCCAGCAGCAACCCTCGCTGACCATCAGTGCAGCCTTCAAAGGCTCACTCCACCATCTTGATTCAAAATGGCATCCAACAATATCCTAACATAGACAAAATCCTGTTCCCTGATCTCAGGAACCATTGTGCCAAAGTTAGTTAGCTTGTCCGAAGGGATCACTGCAGTCTTGAAAGACTGAGTCTGCCATTTTGTTTCAAAATGGTGCCCAGTGGTATCCAAAGAGTTTAGCAGCTGACTTCCTTCTGCCCCCCTTGGCAATGAATAGACCACACACTGATAAGTAAGTTTAAAATTGCTTTACTTACAGTTTCTAGGTCTCAGTCATGCATTGTCTTATGTAGAAATAATAGATAACACAGACAACATATTATTGGGTAGAAATACAGAAAAGTAGCTTCAGACACATGTCTGAAGTTGGGAGCTATCATAAGGCACATTCTGTCTCCATGACTTGCATCCTGAAGAAGAGAGTGAGGAAAGGAAGAGAAGAAACACATCACCTCCAGAGCTTTCCCCACAAAAACTCACTCTTTAAAGCTGAATCGAAGCAAATGCCTATTCAGGGTTTCTGCAGATTACCATTTGCTCCGATTCAGCTTTAAAGAGCAGTTTTTCGCAGGCAAATCTCTGGGTCAAGGAAAAGGGCACTTGGACATGGAGCTCAGACCGTGCCTGGAAAGCGCAGAGGAAAGGTAAGTGTGGATAAGTCCTACATTTGTGAATTTGCCCTGATTTGTTCCCCAAAGTCTTAATTGGTCCAGTTTTTGGGAAACCCTGCCCTGTGTATGAGGTTTCTGGATTCATGACTCTTCTGTCCCCTTCTCAGGAGCTTCGGGAGCTGCAGGAGCAGCTGCAGCAGCAACAGGTCCACATCGAGATGGACATGGCTAAGCCGGACTTGACATCTGCCTTGCGCGAGATCCGCATCCAGTACGAGTCCATGGCCTCAAACAACATGCATGAGACTGAGGAATGGTACAAGTCTAAGGTACGGAACCAGGGTGGAGGCCAGCCCAAGGGAAAGTGAAAGATCAAGGATTCCCAGTCCAGCACAGCTTTGACTAGCATTCCAGTTGAATGGGGCTGTCACTCAGATTGCCCATTCTAGACGAACAGGGCCTTGCACCATTGAGATGCTTTGGAAGGTGACAGTAAGAGATGGGAGGGATGTTGTAGATGAGACTTCTGATTGCATGCATGGCTAGTGACAGCTTTCAGTGCTTGAAGCACAGGATGCATGTGTAACTCTGGTCTTTTTCTTCACTGTTCAATATTAATCATGTGTATTTTTAAAATTTAATGACATTTCTCGCCCATACCAGCAATGGTTGCTCCAAACACCTGTGATAACAGGTGCCTTTTCTCTGAGATACTTCCCATTTTGAGTTCACTTTGGGTTCTTCCATTTGGTGGAGAAACCATAGACTTCCTTATCGCCTGAAAATTCAAGCACAATTGCCCTGTCAGGAAGGGAAGTGAAGGGTTTGAAGGTCACAGTGGTGATCAGGTATAAGCTCTGGCGACACAACCTTTTCAACCAGGGGTTGATAACCGCCAGCTTGGGGGCCTAATCCAGTCCCTCTCAAAAAAACAAAAAAGCCTTCTCCTCAAGACCTTACTGATCTTGGCGCAGCAGCAAAATGGGGGGGACATTAAAGTAGATAACAGTATCAATAAACACATTTGTAAAGTTGGGCTATTGGTCAGAAGCAGTAATTTAGCTGTAGTCAGTACTATTTTTCTAAAAAAAAGAGGTGTCAGAACTGAGCATGAACACCTCCCTTGTTCTCTTAGGATGGCAATGGTGCCCACCTGAGAGGTGCCAGAACTGAGTTCAGCGGCAGAGCAATCCGATTGGGCGCCTGGGGCAGCGCATGCCCTGCGCCCAGGGGCGGAGCCAGCCGCTTGTGGAGGTGGGGCCATCCATCCATGGGAGCGGGACCAGCCGCCCGTCGGGTGGGGCCAGCTAGGGCAGGACACTCCATGGGTCCTCCAAGAAGTTTGCCTGCCTCCTCCCACTCAGCCACCCTACAGCTGAGGGGGAGGCAGCGGGCGGACCATCTGGGGCAGCGCAGAGCCTGCAGGCACCCAAACCACCACGTCACTCCAGGGAGAGGCGTGTGGCTCGGGCGCACTGCAGGCCCTGCGGTGAGTGCCGCCTGGCATTTTGTCACCCCCTCAGTGGTGACACCCGGGGTGGCCCACACCCACCACACACCCCTTCCTCCACCCCTGAGTTCCAGCAATTCCGGCTGGAAAAAAGGCCCTGGATACAGTACTGGGGGGGGAATAGCGCACTGATGTGGGCGCAAACTGCGCAAACGTGATTGATCATGGATGAGCAGAGAGGGGGCAATAACAGCCCGGCCACCCCCATAGCTGATCTGCCCAATGCGAGTGAATGTGTTCCTTGAGCCACGGAACAGAACGTTAATCTGACTTCCGCCTGGTAGTTTGCAGACCTGACCGATGCAGCGGCACGAAACATCGAGGCCCTGCGTCTCGCCAAGCAAGAAGCCAACGAGTACCGCCGGCAGCTGCAGTCCCTCACCTGTGACCTGGAGTCCCTGAGGGGATCGGTAGGTGGAGCTGATGTGGAAATTTGGAGAAGGGAGTTTAAGATTGGGGAAATGAGAAATGGAGAGAAACCGGAATCGACAGGTTCATCCGTCTCTGGCTCCCGGCTAAGCCCAATGGAGAGGGCCTCACCTCTCCCTCCGCCACAGTCAAATGGAATTGGCCAACGATGGAATTGGTTCTAGGAGGCGAGGAGACAAATGGCAGCTGGTCCCAGCTGAGCCGGTGGAGGAGGCCTGGCTCTCTCACCTCACTGTCTGATGCAACCAGTTGGAATAGATAACCTTTCCCTCCCCCCTCTCCTGTCCCACATGACTGACCCTGCCCACAGAAACCACTCCATGAAAATTCACCAGCATTTTGCTGCAAATTTCTCATAAGGTACACCTTTTTAGATGCTAATAGGATGTTCCCCCCAATACCTCCCTTTTTGCACAGCTATTCTCCCTAACTGGGACACGGGTAGTGCTGCGGGTTAAACCACAGAGCCTAGGACTTGCCGATCAGAAGGTCGGCAGTTCGAATCCCCGTGACGGGGTGAGCTCCCGTTGCTCGGTCCCTGCTCCTGCCAACCTAGCAGATCGAAAGCACAAAGTGCAAGTAGATAGATAGGTACTGCTCCAGCAGGAAGGTAAACGGCGTTTCCGTGCGCTGCTCTGGTTCGCCAGAAGTGGCTTAGTCATGCTGGCCACATGACCTGGAAGCTGTACGCCGGCTCCCTCGGCCAATAAAGCGAGATGAGCGCCGCAACCCCAGAGTCGTCCGTGACTGGACCTAATGGTCAGGGGTCCCTTTACCCTTTACCTTTTTCTTCTCCCTAATATAATGCAATTTGGTATATTATTTTCATTCACATATGCATCTGTACACACACTTTACTCTTACATTATTTTTGCCTGTGTTACTTGGCTGGAGAATGGTGTTGCAAAATTCAGATAGTTAGTTTTTTCCCCATTTTGATATGCATTTTATTTTTTTGAAAAATCACAATTTGGTTAAGTTTGCCTCTAAGTGCAAATTGAATCAAATGTCTCCCCAATCCCTAACTGGGGTAAGCTGCTATTGGGTATTCCTCTTCCAGCATTGTCTCCTAAGTAGAAAGCGATTGTTCCACCTAGTCCTTATGTAATGCCATTATGCAATAATATGAAAGGGTTGGCTTGTTCCTGAGTGTGCCTCGTCTCCTCTTCCTTCCCTGTAATAATAATAATAATAATAATAATAATAATAATACTTATAATTATTTATTTATACCCCTCCCATCTGGCTGGGTTTCCCCAGTCACTCTGGGTGGCTCCCAACAGAATAATAATAATAATAATAGCGATAAAACATCAAACATTAAAAACTTCCCTAAACAGGGTTGCCTTTAGATGTCCTCAAAAAGTCATATAGTTGTTTATTTCCATGACTTCTGATGGGAGGGCGTTCAGCAGGGCAGGTGCCACTACCAAGAAGGCCCTCTGCCTGGTTCCCTGCAACCTCACTTCTCACAATGAGGGAACCGCCAGAAGGCCCCGATGCTGGATGTCAGTGTCTGGGCTGAATGATGGGGGTGGAGACGCTCCTTCAGGTCTACTGGGCCGAGGCTGTTTAGGGCTTTAAAGGTCAGCACCAACACTTTGAATTGTGCTCGGAAACATACTGAGAGCCAATGTAGGTCTTTCAGGACCGGTGTTATATGGTCTCAGCGGCTGCTCCCAGTCACCAGTCTAGCGGCCGCATTCTGGATTAGTTGTAGTTTCTGGGTCACCTTCAAAGGTAGCCCCATATAGAGCGCTGTTCCTCATTGCTTATGCCTCTTTGGCTTGTGAACCATTATTGGTCAACTGCAAACTGCCTTGAGTGCTTTGGCAGAAAGGCAGGATCTGAATGTAGTTCATAAGGGAAATGAGCGAAAGGTATATATTCTCAGAATGTATGTCACTTTCAGCCTCCAAGCTGGGTCCAACATGGATGTTGCTGACATGGCTTATAACCTCCCCACGTCAGCTGTGGGCTCAGGATGTCCCTTCCCCTTTGCAGGTTAGTAACAGACCACTTGTTTTGTTGCATTCGCCGGTGACGCTTCCCTTGTCCTCATTACAGAACGAATCTCTGGAGAGGCAGCTGAGGGAGATGGAAGACCGCTATGCCCTCGACACTGCCGCCTACCAGGACACAGTGATTCGGCTGGAGGAAGACACCCGCAGCCTCAAGGAGGAAATGGCTCGTCACCTCCAGGAATATCAGGACCTCCTCAATGTCAAACTGGCTTTAGATATTGAGATTGCCACCTACCGCAAACTCTTGGAGGGGGAGGAAAGCAGGTAGGACCCAGAAACTCCCATAGCCATAGTGTTGTGACATATTTTACAAGGAATTGCTGGGGAGCCTGTCAGAGCAATACAAAGCTCCTTAAAAGCCCTGCATGTTAGGCTTGTTCTACATATATGCAGCCAAATGAGGGGGCTGAGTCTTGGCGGTGAAATGGACCGTACCACTTCACACTACAGGTAGGGGGTCCCATTTTAAAGGTTAGCACAAGTAGGGAATCAGCACAGTGGGAAAGTGGGCTGGGCTGTGAACACTTACAAATGGCAAGTCCCAACCATAGTCTAAAGTGGTACAGTCATACCTGGAGTTGAATGTGCTTCAGGTTGAGCGCTTTTGGGTTGCGCTCCGCTGCAACCCGGAAGTAACAGAGTGTGTTACTTCCGGATTTTGCCGCTCGCACATGCGCAGACACTCAAAATGATGTCACACGCATGCATGGAAGCGGCAAAGCATGACCCGCAGACGCGCCGTCGCGTCTTATGTTCCATTCAGGATGCGAATGGGGCTCCAGAACGGATCCCATTCGCATCCCGAGGTACCACTGTATAGTCGCCTCTTATTGTCTTAGGAGTTTTCCAGTTCATTCTGCTTCAAGGAGAGACCAGGCCTCCCTCTAAACTTGGATGGGTCTCATAAGGGTAATTTGGAAAAAATGAGCCTCCAAGTCAACTTGTTGCTAGTCAGACAATGGGGTGAGCTCCTGTTGCTCTGTCCCAGCTTCTGCCAACCTAGCAGTTCGAAAGCACACCAGTGCAAGCAGATAAATAGGTACTGCTGTGGTGGGAAGGTAAACGGCGTTTCCGTGCGCTCTGGTTTCCGTCATAGTGTTCTGTTGCACTAGAAGCGGTTTAGTCATGCTGGCCACATGACCCGGATAGCTGTCTGTGGACAAACACTGCCTTCCTCAGCCTGAAAGCGAGATGAGCGCCACAACCCCATAGTCACCTTTGACTGGACTTAACTGTCCAGGGGTCCCTTTACCTTTTTACCTAGTCAGGCTCTCTGGTTTAATATTGGAAATATTACCACGTACTGTTGCTTTGAACCTGATCTTCCAGGGCACCAAGCATTCCTTGATCTAATGTGTCACTGTGTAGGTTCTATATCCAGGATCCACTATGCTAAAACCCTCCAGTAGACCCGGGGATGACTCGTACCAAATAGCATTTGAATATGACCAAGCGATTCCTGTCAAACCTCTGTTTGGTGTTGTCCTTAAGTCAGAAAAAACTGTTGTTCTTTTCCGCCTCAAGGCATTTTGGACTACAGTGGTACCTCGGGTTACATATGCTTCAGGTTACATACGCTTCAGGTTACAGACTCCGCTAACCCAGAAATAGTGCTTCAGGTTAAGAACTTTGCTTCAGGATGAGAACAGAAATTGTGTTTCGGCGGCGCAGCAGCAGCGGGAGGCCCCATTAGCTAAAGTGGTGCTTCAGGTTAAGAACAGTTTCAGGTTAAGTACGGACCTCTGGAACGAATTAAGTACTTAGCCAGAGGTACCACTGTACTGCTCCCATCATCCGTGACCATTGGCCAGGATGGCTGTCGCTGATGGGAGTGGTAGTCCAAAACAAGCTGGGGAAGGGTGTTGTTTGCCATGTTACTTCTGCCGGATCAGCCATTTTGTGAGATGTGTGCTTCTCACCTGAGCTCCTTTGGCTCTGCTGCTTACCCAGTACAAAACCTGGAATTAATTAATTAAAGATGCAAGGTTGGGGAAGGATTGAGAGAATTAGGACCGATCAGGGGCAGCTCACCCTGATTCGCCACCTGGCAAAACAGGGAAGTGGTGCCCTGCACTCGTCACCAAAGCCACCCTCATCTGAGTTGTGCAGCAGCGCCCGCAGAGCAGCAACAGTGACAGCGGGTTCTTGTGAGATCTCTTGAGATCTCATGGAGCTCTTGCAGGATCAAATGGAGCACATGAGATCTCTTCCGATTTTGGCAAAGTCTTGCGAGATCTCAGCAGCTACTGCTGCCTCCTCTTGCAGTTCCACTGCCTGAGGCTGCGACCTTAGCCTGCCTCATGGGTGGGCTGGCCCTGAGACTGATTTGAAAACCCACTCCCTTTTCCTTTTCTTCCTTGTGTCTTTGCAGGATTACCATTCCAGTGCAGACCTTCTCCAACCTTCAGATCCGAGGTAAGGAACCCATTCTGTCATGAGGATGGCTGTTGCCATGTGACCACACACAAATGAGGCAGCAACTGTACGTGGGCTGTCCCGTGAATCCACTGGATGAAATAGCGGAAGAACGTTGCCTCAGGAGAGTGAGGAAAATTCTCAGGGATGATTCACACCCTGGCTGGCACTTTCTTGATCTCCTGCCCTCAGGCAGAAGATATAGAAGCATGATTAGTCGCACCAACAGGGTAAAGAACAGCTTCTATCCATGCGCTGTTAGGCTGCTGAATGAAAAGATAACAACAGGGCAACTGACTTTCGGGTTTGGTGGGTGTGCGTCAGTAAACGAGGGGAATTGAGACTAAGAGAGCTGAGTAGGGGGTGCTCATGTAATCTCACTGTTTACAAGTTGTACAAGTGACAATAAAGTATTTCAATTTCAATTATAGTGTGAACCACTAAGTGTGGCAGGCTGTGTGGCAGCAGAGCAGGTGGGGCAGGTGGTGGCAGTGGCAAGTATGATAGTGGCAGCAGGGCAGGGGAGAGAGGCTGTATTCCAAACCTCTGGCTCCTATCTATTTTACTATTTATCTTTGAAAACCAGTGGTGCCATTGGAGGGATGACTTGGGGGGCAGAAGAGCTAGGATCCCACTCAATGGAATGAGCAGGAGGGACCCCAAACTCAGTAGGATTACCACATTTTGAGTATAGCAATACATATTGCCATCTAAAAGCTCCCCACCCCTATAAGAACATGCAAGTTCAGAGTCTAAAATTATCCAACTGCACTGCAGAGAGAAGGCTCTTTGCCTCTCCTTTTTCAATACAGGAAGGGAGGGAGCGTGGGTTTCTAATCCTAGTACCCAATGAAATGCAGATATCTGTAAGGTGGGGCATGTGCAATCTAGGAGAGGCTGCAAAGAGGAGCTGAGCAGGAAAAGCAAACAGTTTCCCTACGCACTGCAGTTTTTCGATGGGGTATTTACTGACGCCTCTTGTGTGCTCTGTAGGAGATACAGGCAAATGTAGCTGCTGCGTTGGGGACCCCTGGATTAAAACAGCTTCCTATATGCCAAAAAACCTTCCTAAAACTGAAGTCTTTGGAAATTAATTGGGATCCAATGAAGGCGTTTCCTACACTCCTGTCCTCCTGATATCCATCTCTCATCAGCAAGGCTTGTTTCAAGGCCATGGCTAATACTAGCTTCGAACTAGGAACTTCCCAGCTCACTCTTTGACTGATGTTCTGTGCCTCTTTACTTGTCTTGGGGAACAAGTCCCATTGGGAACAATAGTAAAGCTAAAGGACCCCTGGATGGTTAAGTCCAGTCAAAGGTGACTATGGGGTTGTGGCACTCAACTCGCTTTTCAGGCCGAGGGAGCCGGTGTTTGTCCACAGACAGCTTCCCAGGTCATGTGGCCAGCAGGACTAAACTGCTTCTGGCACAACGGGACACCGTGACAGAAACCAGAGAGCGTGGAAACGCCTTTACCTTCCTGCCGCGGTGGTACCTATTTATCTACTTGCACTGGCGTACTTTCGAACTGCTAGGCTGGCAGAAGCTGGGACTGAGCAATGGGAGCTCACTCCGTTGCAGGGATTCAAACCGCCGACCTTCTGATCGGCAAGCCCAAGAGGCTCAGTGGTTTAGACCACAGCGCCACCCGCGTCCCTGTTTATAATAGTACTTAACTCCAGTAAACACAACTAGGGGTGCGTTGTTAGACGCCACAGCAGTTCTCTTCTGCGCCAGCTGCTACTAGATTCCATTTCATTGCACACCTCTGTTCCACTTTGATTCTTTTTGTGATCACTTTGGTTGTTCTTGTTGCCATATGGGAGGCTGCTTGAAAAACCTTTGAAAGGAAAACTCCTTAAAGAGGAATTTGTATGTTACTGCATGTTACTGAGATGTTTGTCGGTCAAGGTCAAGGTGCTACAATTTAGGATCACTTAGATCTAGTGATGGCTCCCTACTACCTAGCAAGTTCTCCCCGCCCCCCTTTCCTTGACTCTGGTTGCCCTTCACTGCAGCTGCATCAGAGTGAAGAAGGAGCTGAGTTTTAGTTCACCATTCTATACCGTTCTCTCTCACACACATTCTCCCAGATCCTCAGCATTTCCTTCTGTTTCTTTCCTTGTGGTCTCGCGGGCCAGCTCAAAGTCTATCACAGATGAACAGTGTGTGCTTTCTCCAGGTCACAATTCAGTAACTACCACACTATGACAATGACCGGGCTGTTCTTTCCCTCCTCACCAGAGACCAGCCTGGACACAAAGTCCGTTTCTGAGGCCCACCTGAAGAGGAGTATTGTGGTCAAAACAGTGGAGACAAGAGATGGAGAGGTAGGCAAAAGCTACCCAGGCCTGATCACATGATTGAAAGATCTAGCAATCCAACCTTTTCTTTCCAAACACCTGTAGAATCTATGGACATGCCTGCCCCACTCATTTTATTTTTAATCCTCCAGGAAATAGATTCCTCAGTGTCCTTCGTCATCATGCTCTGTCGCTAAACTGCTCATAGTTAGGAAATTCTTCCTAATATTCAAACCTCCTTCCTCTCTGTAGTTTTAATCTTGTCACTGGTGAGTGACTGTAGCCCTTTTAATCTTCCAATATCTCTTGGCTTCTTGGGACTATATATACCAGCCTCCTTCGGCCTTTCCTGGTAGGATTTGTCTTCTAGAACCTCTGCCTATCATCTTTCAATGATTCTCTCTGCATCCTATTTCAATTTATCAGCATTTTCTTTCTTTCACTGTGCTACTCAGGGCCCCAAATGAGTGCTCCCCGGCACTGAGAAAAGGAGTGTTATTATCTGTAACTTCTTACGTCTTGGGTCCGATGTTTCTCTTTGGAGACAACCAACCAGCAATGGTCTTGGGCTTTCGAGCTGAAGCACCACATGACTGGCATCTGTTTGTTATCCATTGAAGACTATGCATTTCCCTCAGGCATGCTAACCAGTTGTCCTTGTGCACAAACCGGGGTTCCTTCTTCCTATGTGTAACACTTGATATTTCTTGTTGGTATTCATCCCCTTGGGTTTCTCTGCCAATGCCTCCAGTTTACGATGATGAGGGAGATTTATAACTTACAATCAGGCTTGTGGGCAATAGAAAATAACTTTTCTTCCTTCCAGAATTGGTGTCGAGATGGATGGCTGGAACATGAGTCAAAATGGATGGGGGAATGAATTCTCTAACATGGTCACAGCAAGCTTTTCCAAGTCTGGGGTTTGGGGAATGGTTTGCCCAGCAGCATAGATCTATGCATCTTGATGGACTGCATTTCAGTTCCTGTTCTAGTGTCAGTAAAAACAATAGCAAATAAAGTATTTAAAAAGGAAAGGAAAGAGTGAGCAGGCACTTGGGAATAAGTAATTGAAGTTCTGATGCTATAGAGACAGTGTGTGCCAGATGGCAGAATACAAGCCTGTTTTTCTGCCTTGCCTGCTTGTGCCCACAAAAAAAATTAGGCAGTGTTGTTCAGCAGGCAAAAGTTATACTGCAAGGATGAAGCTGTGCTCCTGACAAGACTTTATTCCCTCAGTGAGCACTCTGTTCAGCCTGAGATACCACATAGCTCAGATCAAAGGTCTTGCAAGCTGACTTGAGGAAATACTTAGTCTGGAGTATTGAACAGAGCAGAATAACAAACCTGGAAAGTATCGGGTCATAATTATTATTATTACTTATACCCCACCTACCTGGCTGGGTTTCTCCAGCCACTCTCAGTGGCTCCCATCAGAATATTAATAGTAATAATAATAATGTGATAAAACACCAAACATTAAAACTTCCCTAAAAAGGGCTGCCTTCAGATGTCTTCTAAAAGTCAGATAGTTGTTTATTTCCATGACATCTGATGGGAGGGCGTTCCACAGGGCAGGCGGCACTACCAAGAAGGCCCTCTGCCTGGTTCCCTGTAACTTCCGCAGTGAGGGAACCGCCAGAAGGCTCTCGGAGCTGGACCTCAGTGTCTCGGCTGAACGATGGGGGTGGAGATGCTCCTTCAGGTGCCGAGGCCGTTTAGGGCTTTAAAGCTCAGCACCAACACTTTGAATTGTGCTCGGAAACATACTGGGAGCCAATGTAGGTCTTTCAGGACCGGTGTTATATGGTCTTGGCGGCTGCTCCCAGTCACCAGTCTAGCTGCCGCATTCTGGATTAGTTGTAGTTTCCGGGTCACCTTCAAAGGTAGCCCCACATAGAGCTCATTGCAGTAGTCCATAGCTTCCCACTGTGCACAGAAGATGTGTGTGATGGGGTGTAAATAGTTATTTGGGATAATCCTGAATATTTACCTAGTTCTAAAGCGTTTCACGTATTGTTGCGTTGTGAACTGCCCTGAGATCTATGGATATGGGGTAGTGTACAAATTTAATAAATAAATGATAGCATCTTGTTATCATTCTCACAGTGGCCTTATAAAGGTAAGCCAGTACAGTGGTACCTTGGTTTACAAACTTAACCCATTCCAGAAGTCCGTTCTTAAACCAAAGCGTTCTTAAACCAAGGCGTGCTTTCCCATAGCAGCGGGGGACTCAATTTACAAATGGAACGCACTCAACATGTTCTGCTTCCAAGGCAAAGTTCACAAACCAAAACACCTACTTCCGGGTTTGCAGCGTTCTTAATCCAAGCTGTTCATAAACTAAGCTGTTCTTAAAGCAGGGTACCACTGTACTATTATCCCCATAATGTGGATGAGAGGCTTGGCTAACGCTGCTTAGTGAACAGGTTTGTGGCAGATTCAAAGTGGAGACTTCCTGTTTCGTTGCTTTGTCTCTTGTGGCTGATAGCTACACCAGCCCTTTTGCTCCTTACAAAGCAATTAAATATACATATAGCTGAAAAGCTGCAAAGGCATGTACGTGTCTGAAATTTGAGCTAGGCCCCCATCGTTTCCTTCCTTCTACTCCCCCCAGGATGGGGGCTTAAATCTCCTCTCCTCCGCTGGTACATTTTCCAGATCTGCCCTGCTGGTTTACTTCCATCCAGGAAAACAAACCATGACCTTTTAGGGTTAAATAGATATAGGTAAAACATAAAAAAGAAAGCTTGCTTTAAATACCCTCCAACATTTATCCGATGAAAATAGGGATCTCCTATTTAATATTATTAGGTAAAGGTAACGGGACCTCTGACCATTAGGTCCAGTCGTGACCGACTCTGGGTTGCGGCGCTCATCTCGCTTTATTGGCCGAGGGAGCCGGCGTACAGCTTCCGAGTCATGTGGCCAGCATGACTAAACCGCTTCTGGCACACGGAAACGCCGTTTACCTTCCCACCAGAGCGGTACCTATTTATCTACTTGCACTTTGACATGCTTTCGAACTGCTAGGTTGGCAGGAGCAGGGACCGAGCAACGGGAGCTCACCCCGTCGTGGGGATTCAAACCGCTGACCTACTGATCAGCAAGTCCTAGGCTCTGTGGTTTAACCCACAGCACCACCCACGTCCCTATTTAATATTATTATTACTAATAATAATAATAATAATAATACCCTGCCCATCTGACTGGGTTGCCTCGGCCACTCTGGGCAGCTTCCAACATATATAAAAACATAATAAAATAATAAACATTTTTAAAAAAACACTTGCCTATACAATCATACCTCGGGATGAATATGCTTCAGGTTAAGTATTTTCGGGTTGCGCTCCATGGCGACCTGGAAATAACAGAACGCATTTCTTCTGGGTTTCGCCGCTCGCGCATGCGCAGACGCTCAAAATGGCGGGGGGCCACTAGGGGGCGCATTGGAAGATGGCCGACAATACCATCTCTCCAACCCACATGGGGTAATTAAGAGGCTGTTATGGGAGTAGGCAGCCTCCCTTGTTGCACCAAAGGCGGGGTATGTTGACAACGGGGCTGAATGGGGGGGGGGGGACCTTTTTTACTTTCCTTCTATGTGATTTACAAGAACCCCTCCTTATTAGAAATGTCGGTTGAACTGACCCAAGCAGGATGATTAAGGTCTGTGTGGAGATAAACTTTAACCAAAAGTATGCTTTATGGAGACCGAGAAGCAATAAGAGTTTTTGGGAATGGCGCAGCAATTAATAAGAGTCGCCATCTTGCCAAAGGATTTATAGCCGGGAGGAAGAACGGTTTTGTTTTCAGACTGCATTCCTAGTGAATCTCCTCAGAGGTTTTGAGAAAGGAGGCAGATTGGTGAAGATTAATGACGCTAAGACTGTTTTGATGTATGGAAGTGATGTTATATGGAAAACGTCTGGATATGGCTACTGGATAAAAAAATAATATCCACGCAGGATTACAAACTGTTCTAACCAGCTTGCGGAGACTATCAGAGGTCACAAAGAGAAAGGAAAAATATATGAAAATAACAACAAGAGATGTGGAAAAATAATAAGAAAGGACTGGATAGTACTGTGAACATCATAAGGTTAGATTTGTGGACATTAAAACAGCAGTAAGAAGCAAGAAGTTGATTGGATCCCTTCAGAACTTGAAATATGGGTACCCCCAACAAAAATTTAAAATTCGGCTGTGTAATTTGGAATTTATGTAATTTGGTTTGATTTGATGTGATTGGTCGGTTAATAAAAAATTATTCTTAAACAAACAAAACAAAATGGCATCACACGCATGCGCGGAAGCTGCGAAACGTGACCCACGCATGTGCAGTCGCGCAGTGGCGTGTTACGTTTGCTTCAGGATGCGAACGGGGCTCCGGAATGGATCCCATTCGCATCCAGAGGTACCACTGTACAGGGTTGCCTTCAGATGTTTTCTAAACATTGTAGAGTTACTTAGCTCCTTGGCTCAGTGGGTCGCAAAACTCCATAACTTCCAACATTTCACCAATGCAAATGGGGTGTCCTAAGGAAAAGTGGGACATTCCAGGATCAAATCAGAAACCGAGACAGCTATCAAGCCAGGGCTGTCCCTGGAAAATAGGGACACTTGAGGGGCTGTGCTTAAATTTTCAATTAAGCGTCATCAGTATTGGCAATAATCTTGTGCATGAACCATCAAGTTACTAGTTCTGTGCTGCCATAGACCCTGCTTTGATTTTGATTTTTAGGGGACAGGTGGGAGTAAGCAATGGGAACCTGAAGCATTTAGAAGGGAGCACACGAAGTTTCAAAATGAATAGGAGCTGTTTTGTGGCCGCTGAAAGCTAGGTTGCGACCCAAGCAGGGTGAATAACTTCCCTCCCATTCTTCTCCCCACTCTGCCTGCAGGTGATCAAGGAGTCAACCCAGGAGCACAAGGAAGTGGTGTGAAGCCAGCGGCCGCAAAGTAAAAGCCACGCTAGCGAAGGGAGGGAGGAGACGCCTGTAGCTGTAGGACGCTAGGAGAAGCTTGCCTCCCTTCCTGACGCTTCAGGGCTATGGCCCCAAAACAGCTCCGCACGCCGAATATGCCGCTGCTACGAGGGGTGGGAAACGTTTGCAAATTTAACTATTGCTGAGAAAGTATAACCGGCTGCTGCCTCTTGGGCCTCAGTTGCCTGGTGCTTTAGGTGGGGTTTGGGGCCCACCCGCTTTCTTGCATCTTGTATGCTTCCCTCACTGTGTCCAAATGAGGCACTGTGTTTAGACTGGGCTGTAGCTTTGCTAGATGTTATCCGCCTTGGGCTTAACACCAAAACCTACTGCTTCTCAATAAACCTACTAATGAATAGGATCCGTGTTTACTGTTGGTGCTGGGAGAGGTGTGTGTGTGAGAGAGGCCTAGAAGGGAGGTATTTTGAGGGGAACAATGGTAGGAAGTTAGCTTGTCTCCCCAGAAGTATAACATGTGTCCTTAAGAAACTGAAATATACTCGGAGTCAAGAGTGGATTTCATGCTCTTTATTCAGCTCATAGCGGTGAGGAGGAATGGAAGTTCCCCCAGAATGTCTGCTTTATATACATTATTTACACAATGGGCCCCATGTGATTGGCTAATTCCGGGATTCTCCTGTAGGCCAATCAGGTCGCAGATTCACTTCCACCTGGAGCTGGATTGGGTGGCTCCTGTGGACCAATCAAACTGCTGTATTCTGGAGCCTATTGTTCTGGGACCAATCAGGCTGCTGCATTTTGGATCCTATTCAACTCAGTACATAACAGAAACGCATGTGACAAGATAGCAATTCATCTTGCAAATTAACCCCAAAATAGTGAAAACGGGCCCTTCTGAATGTTTAGCTGTGATGCAAAGCTGTTAAAGATGTCTTGTTGAGGGGGAAATTGGGAACTTCCCTCCCAGTGCTAATAAACACTGTGGGATAGAGTGGGGAGTTATCAGGACCACATCAGGAGAGGGGTCTTTGCCGTTCTTCCCATATGACAGCTATTTAAAACCTTAAAGCTGTCCCTGTCAGCTAATTTGCTCCTGCATTGGATGAGTTTTGTTCATGTATGAAGTTTTCCCCCCTGCTAGATTTGAAGTTGGAAAGGAATACTAGTCAAAGTTGGCTAGTGACTGCAGTTTCCACCCCACCCGTGGGCCTCCAGCACAATCTCTTCTCATGGTCTAATCTGCAGCAAGGTTGGTGGCCCAAGGTGTGATTCCTGGCCAAGCGGGATTTGAATTTGGGTCTCCCCAGTACTAGTTCAATGCTTAACCCCTACAGTAGCCTTTGGGCACCTACAGTAGCCTTAAGAACCTAGTCAACAAATACACACTTCCTTTATCTTCTTCCTCCAAGAGGCAGCCTCTGCCTTTTGGGGGTTTCGCCTCTGCCTTCTTTCCATAACTCCCTCTGAGGTTTATAAGCCATCAGGAAGAGTCTGGAATTTCGCAGCCTCTTATCAACCTTAGGTTACCCACCAGCAATGCATCCAGTAATTACTAGCCAAGTAATAGAGGAGAAATGGGATTCAGAAATGATTTAAAGGGGAACTTGCCAAAATCACACTCTTCAGAACACTTTGCAAACTGAAACATAGCCATCCTTTTCCATTCCCCAGCTGAATAATGTGTACAGATATGCACATACTGGGGTAAAAAGTGTGTAAAAGGGCATAGGTAAGTGAAAAGATCATGCAAAAATGCATATTAGGGGAAATTTATTTGCAAAAATGTGTACATTAGAAAGACTATGCACTAAAACACTGATGATGATGATAATCATCACATTATTATTATTATTATTATTATTATTATTATTATTATCACAAACAGATGTGGAACTGTGGGGAACTGGAAAAATGAGAAATGAAGAGACACAAAATATGTCAGGTTCGCTCACCCCTGCTAGTTGAGCTCCTTGTGAGCAAGCAGCTGGTCTCTACACCCCCACACCCCTTGACCCAAGTAAATGGGTGAGGCCGGTGTATTATTGTGAGGGCTGCCATTTAAGCAATCTGCAGAAAATAGTGTCTCAATAACATATAGAGGGATGCCGTGCCATGGAAAATTCTGAAGGCTGATGTGAATGATACTGAAGGACGGAGGTGTGGCAGAAAAGAGAGAGAGAAAGAAAGAAAGAAAGAAAGAAAGAAAGAAAGAAAGAAAGAAAGAAAGAAAGAAAGAAAGAAAGAAAGAAAGAAAGAAATTAGGGCATCCGGGAAAGATAGTGACATATTGCAAATGATCAGGTGAGCAAGTCGCCTCTATAATTACTGATCTAGGAGACCAAGTGTAAAGATCAAAGCTTGATAGAACTTGCTACAGGTTTAGCCTAGTAAAAAGAATATAAAATGTGATTGTAATTGTCTTCAAGCATTTAAAAAGCTGCCTTGAATGCTGGCACACTCCATTCTGAGTCATATTAAACTCAGTGGGACTTGCTTGGAAGTTGACAGACATAGGCTTGTACTGGCCCTTGAACACAGAAGAGGACAGGGAAATTATGTGCTCAACAGTTTATCCAAAATACCTTTTTAATACAACCTGACCTTTACCTGTGTGCCCATAAAAACAGATAACTAGCCCTACTAAAACCAATACCACAGAGATTGTTATTGTTAGATACAAAAAATGTTAAACTCAGATGTTTGTCACCTTTTGTAACCATCGCTGGCACCTAAACAATCTACAACTTTTCTGCTGTTCTTTGTGTACTGCCGAATATATGTACGTTAGCCTCTCAATATTACTTGCATATTTCCAAATGTCAGGTCAATTTCTAATGCTGTATTTAAACCCTTTGCAATCACTAAAAGTATTATGATGTGAAGCAATGAGTTTTTTATTTTCTTTTATGAAAAATGCACTCCCACTTATTTTAATCTCCCTTTTGAAAGTGTTTCATAAATCAATAAAAAAAAATAATAAATTATTTATATCCCGCCCTCCCCAGCTGAAGCCGGGCTCAAAGCGGCTTCTTTCCCAATTTTTTTCATCATTTATAGGGGGTATTTATATCCTGCCCTTCAATGAATTTCCAGGATGCCTTACAGAAGCAAATACCTATGTGTGCATATATACAAAAACAGTTACCTTACATAAAAACACATATAAATAACCACACACACACACGTACGCGCAGCAGAAAACCATATGTGCTGAGTTAAAAACAATAATAATGGAAGTGAATGGAAAATAAAAGATCTGAAGAAATACAAATATATTTGCCTGGGACAGGAATTACTGGTACATTAATGTAGGTTTGGTGTGCCAGGGAAGCCTCCTTGCAGAGAATGTTCCAGGTTAGGACATCACAGCGGAAAAAGCCCTTTCTGTAGTACGTTCCCATGACTTTTGGAAAGAGCAGTGTGGAAACAATACTAAAAGTGCACATAAATAGGAAACGTTATACACAACTTCCAAAAGGTGGCTGACAAATTCAGTCTGACTCTGTTGTGTCCCAAAGTGTCTGCCGATAGCATTGATAAGGGCTCACCATTCTCCTCCTCTTCTTCTTCCCATTTCCTTTTCCTTTATCAGGGCTTTTGTAGCAACTCTGGCTCAATACACTGTCCCCTGCCCTCAAATCACCTATTCTGAGTTAAGCAGCCTTTGAGCCTGCTAGGAGTGCAACCACAGCAGACATCGAATGCCTTCCACCCATTTCCAACACCAGCCACTGGAGGAACCCATGTCATTAAATCTGCAGAGCTGATTGGAAGCAAAGAAGATAATAATAATAATAATTTATTATTTATACCCTGCCCATGTGGCTGGGTTTCCCCAGCCACTCTGGGCGGCTTCCAACAAACACTAAAATACAATAACCTATTAAACATTAAAAGCTTCCCTAAACAGGGCTGCCTTTAGATGTCTTCTAAAAGTTTGGTAGTTATTTTTCTCTTTGACATCTGGTGGGAGGGCGTTCCACAGGGCGGGTGCCACTACTGAGAAGGCCCTCTGCCTGGTTCCCTGTAACTTGGCTTCTCACAGTGAGGGAACCGCCAGAAGGCCCTCGGCGCTGGACCTCAGTTTCCGGGCAGAATGATGGAGGTGGAGACGCTCCTTCAGGTATACTGGACCGAGGCCGTTTAGGGCTTCAAAGGTCAGCACCAACACTTTGAATTGTGCTCGGAAACGTACTGGGAGCCAGTGTAGGTCTTTCAAGACCGGTGTTATATGGTCTCGGCAGCCACTCCCAGTCACCATTCTAGCTGCCGCATTCTGGATTAGTTCTAGTTTCCGGGTCACCTTCAAAGGTAGCCCCACATAGAGCACATTGCAGTAGTCCAAGCGAGAGATAACCAGAGCATGCACCACTCTGGCAAGACAGAGATTAAAGCTTTAAACACACTTTGCATTTAAAGCATCCAACGCAAGAATCCTGGAAACTGTAGTTTGCTGCCTTTCTACCCAAAATTATTCTAAAAAGGGGAGATCCCAATGTCTGGAGATTGGAACCTGGGATCAGATGCAGGCAAAGCATGAATGATTTGTCACTGTGGTTTTCAAAGTTCTTCTAATTATATGTAAAAATCCCCGGCAAACCACTGAAATTGAGAGATAATGCTCTGTTGATTTCAGCATTTTTTAAATTTAGAACTTCCACAATCCTGCAACAGATAACATTTTGTATCCCCCATAGCTGATGAAAAACATTAAAGGATTGCCATTGTAGGGGTCAGATGGGATTACCATGAGGAATTATAAAATATACATCAAGCCATCGTGTCCACGATGAAAGCATTGTGTTGACTGGGTTTGATATATTGACGATAATTTCTGATTAAATCCCATAAGATTCTACATTCATGCCCTTTTCATGCCCTTTTCCCTCTGCTGCCCATTTCTCCTTGCCTGACAAGTCACGTACGCAGCCCAGTTGTCGCCAGGCAGGCATCCTGGGCCATAAGACAGTGGGAAGTTTCTTTAATCTTAGGATGTTAATCTTAGGGCCAGGAAACAGATCTCACATTAAGGGGATAATGGTCACTGTCCTCCTGGCCATCCTTCTTATCATATGTATTGCTTGTTTATTACCTCCGGGGTTGCCAGATGCTCTTCTTTGTAGTTCTGTTCTTTGTTTACCCCAGAAATATTTGTGCTGAATTAGTTTTAGTGGTTTAACTTGTCCCCACGTGGGTTTGTGGAAATGCTCGGAAGAAATCTGATTGGTCTTACGAACACTCTGTAAAAAGCTCTTTTGTGAATAAAAGCTACCTGGGCCAGGGGGCTGCAGACACGGGACAGGCACAGAGAGACGATTATACGCACCCTTCCCAGAGTCTTGCTGGTTCAAGTCTCTGTGTGTATACTTATTAATCAGAGTTCAATCCTTCCTTTACTTTGCGAAAGCAACATGCCATTCCTTCTAGGAATGAGATGACGCTTGTTTTAACAAATTTGAAAGCTACCCCACATAGGAGGAAAAAAATCCTCCGAAAAGGCCCTTATTCAAAGCTTTTGAAATACGTTGGTTAAGCTCAGTTGGTTAAGACCCAAGACAGTTGATAAATTAAATATTTACTAGATCAACAGGTAAATGGGTTAGCAACAACAAATTTTAAAAGTGAATAAATGAGCCCCTGAAGAGTTTTCCTGGCAGGTGCTATTCCACAGATGTGCACCTGAAGGCGTAAACACAGCAGCGGACAATGTGGATGCTGACAAAGAGGAGGGTGATGAAGACATAGCTGGTGAAGATGGCCTTGATGGCGTATTGTGTCTCAGGATCATCAATGCTTCTCTTGTGGCGGCTCTCGTACACAACAGCGAGCCGAAAGCCAGCCACCAGTTGTCCCTCTCGCCAGCAGTAGTAGACTCCTCTGTCATCCATCTGGGCAAAGCGTATGTGCAGATGGTTTCCGTGGTCAATGAAGACCCTCATGCTCTTGTTGACCCCGGTAAGGAACCTGGTGAGGTACATCCGGGTTGAGTCTTTGTCCCAAGCCACAGCATGCTCTGGCCTGGCACCAGGGCAGGCTATGATCAGCCCAGTGCCAAGGGATTGCTTGTGGAATTGGATAGGGATGTCGGGAACCCAGGGTTTTTCCCCAAGCTTGGAGATGACATCTGAGATGGATGCCTCTCCCATGGAGGACATCTTTTTCCTGCAAGGTGCCATGCAACTTCGGATAACGACCTCAGGCTTCCTATTCGGAACCCCCCGAAACTGCTTTGGGACAGACTTGGAGCCACAGGAAGCCACCTCTGGTATGGTAGTACGGTATCGCCTGAGCAGATAGGGGCTCTGCACATAGCAAAGCCCAACTCTCCGCTGCTCACCTCTGACATCGCAGCGATTGCACTTGGTCCATTCCCAGAAGACGGTGAAGACTACAAAGTGTGTTCTGTTGAAGTCCTTTTGTGGGTGCTGATCCTCATCTGCAAAGGCAACAGCTATGTTTTTGGAAGTCTGCACGTCTACATCATAGCCATAGAAGAAATCCCCTTTCTTGGTGCCACAAATGTAGTGCCCTGAATCTTCCACCTGAACGCGGAAGACAATGAGGCTGAACATCCTGATGCTGAAGCGCCGGAGCATGTCAACGCCTCTCTTGATGTGGCTCGAGTCCACAACCAAAGTGCCATCAAAGTCTGTCAAGACCTTAGTCCGGTGTCTGCCCATGTTCTTCTGAAAGTACCAAACCACAGAAGTGACCTCCTCGGGCTTGCAATTGCAAGGCAACTCAAAGCTCATGTCGGCCAAGTAAGCAGCATTTTCAAACATCAGAAAAGCTGGGCAAGGGGTCTTCTTGAACACGTCCTCCTTCTCTATAATGGCAAAGGCATGGAGAACATCAGCAGTGCCAAGGACTATCGCAATTCCAGCCAACCCCGTTGAAGCCATTTGATGGTGGTACACTTTGGTCAACAGCTTCCGCATTGGTTGATTACAAGTTCTGTAGCTCAATTCTGCTTCATTGCTCTTTTAAGTAGGCAAACTAGGTAGGATACTAAACAGTGTGTGGAGGAACGAAGACTCCAGAACCATTTTCATTTTTGCTCACACAAGTTCTAGAATGCAGTCTCAGCTCCAGAGTGGTCAGCATGAACAACTAGCTGTTATCCCATTGTGTGTGTGTGTGTGTGTGTGTGTGTGTGTGTGTGAAGCTGACTTATACTGGCTTTTATTTTTTATTTTTTTAAATGATTTTTATTAAGGTTTCAGTAGAAAGTTAAACAGAAAAACATAAAAAAGAAATACACAAATACACAATACATAATCCAAAAAAGAAACAAGCACAGAAAACAATAAACAAAAAAGAAAGAAAGAAACAGAACATTTAAAAACAATATCACCTTTTCATTTCCGTTTTTAAATTTACTTATTTTCTGGACCTCCTCATACCTCCCTCTTTTGTATTCCAGTTCAAATTGTTTGTCCAGCAATTTCTTTCCCACTTTTTTAATCCCAATCTTTAATCTTTAATCTTAATATAATATAGCATTAAAATTTCACCTCTTAAATACCAAATTTCCATTTCCTTAAACTTCTTTAATCCTAATCTTTAATCTTAGTCTATCTATAACTTTAAATCCTGTACAGCTGGAAACCACTTATTTTCAATCCAACATCACTCTAGCATTCTTTAATTTTACAGTGTTTCTGTAAATAATCTTTGAATTTCTTCCAATCTTCCTCCACCGACTCTTCTCCCTGGTCACGGATTCTACCAGTCATTTCTGCCAGTTCCATATAGTCCATCAGTTTCATCTGCCATTCCTCCAGCGTGGGAAGTTCTTGTGTCTTCCAATACTTTGCAATGAGTATTCTTGCTGCTGTTGTTGCATACATAAAGAAAGTTCTATCCTTTTTTATCACCATTTGGCCGACCATGCCCAAGAGAAAGGCCTCTGGTTTCTTGGGGAAGGTATATTTGAATACCTTTTTTAATTCATTATATATCATTTCCCAGAAAGCCTTAATCTTTGGGCACGTCCACCAAAGGTGAAAAAATGTACCTTCAATTTCTTTACATTTCCAACATTTATTATCGGGCAAGTGATAGATTTTTGCAAGCCAGACTTATACTGGCTTTTAGTATTGTCTGTTCAGATTGCCAACAGCCCTCCAACATGTCAGGCAGGGTATTTCTCAGCCCAGCAACATGATATGCTTTTAACTGGAGATACCAAAGATTAAACTTGGGACAGGCAAACCAAGCACTGGAGGACCAAGCCATTGCTCCTCCCCAATTCTATACAAACACCCACAATACTTAATACAACCAAGTTTATATTAAGCCTGGATGGACAACAGTATCTTCAGGTTATTGTTACCCATGAATGAGAAAAAGCCAACTCATTCTGGGGCTAAGCCCTGCTGAGTCCTAACTAGAGCAGAAGTCAATAGCACAAGTGCCATGAGAAATAGGAGATAAACCACAGCAGAAATCAATCAACAAATATTATTTATTGACAATGCACTATCTGCCTTGCTGGAGAAGGCAGAGCTCATCTAAAAACTCAGTAAACAGGTCTATCCTCCAAATATATATTCTATACAAGTTGTACTGAGATTAACTGGAGATGTGCAAGAATTCATGTGTGCTCTTGATGATCTCCCACTCATCTTAATGGGGATTGATAGAAGATGTTCTTAGTGGACGTTCCTTTCCTCTGTATCTTCTCCATTATTTTCCTATGTGGTGTGGCTTGTGACACAAGCTCTAGCTTCCTTTAGGTGACTTTGTAAAGGTGCATCAGTTCCATCAATTTTATTTTAGTTGGTCCATCTGCTTGGCAATGGATTTGGGTACCAGGCACACCTTCCCCCTCTGTGGCATGTGAAAAGTCAGGAGGAATGCTAGGGTCAGTCCCCATCCTTTGCAGTTTCTCAAACAACTGTCGACAGTTTTTCTTCTCTTGCTCACTCATGAGTTCCACATTCAATCCAAAGCGTTTGGTTTCTGAAAAACTCTCCAAAATCTCCAAGACAGAGTCCCGGTCTTTGAGACAGGTATTTTCATTGAACACTGCTAGGAATTCACCTAGGAAACCAAAAGCAAGGTCTGTTTGGAAGATTTGGCCCAGGTTTTGGGATCCAAGTTGGAGCAGGAGCTGGTAGCGTTCTTGGCTGTTTTTCATGCATCTGCGCCAATCTCTGTAGAATTCTGCAGACGTCTTGGGCAGCTGTTCCAACTCCTGGAGGAGGAGAACAATGTCACAGATCCCAACACAAGTGGATCCTGGCCCACTCTCCACCCCACTGGAGAAAGACCTTAACTGACCTTAATGGTGATATTAATTTATTTTGGTAAGGAAAATTGTTCCTATATGTTTAGTTTTCAATATCCCTTTCTACTTTTATTTTATCAGGCATTTGCTGTTATGCTTTGTTATGTCGCAAATAAATAAACGTAGATAATAAAATAAGAAGTATTGCTCAAAAGGAACCAAGGCTCTCCAAACTCCTGGAAAGGAGCAATCTTACCTGAGACAGCTGTACCTCACTCTCTTGTTTCAAGTTTGCTTTAACTGCATGGGAGTTCCACAACACATTTCTCTTCTTCCCCACCTTGTCCTTTTTCTCCAGAGGCTTTAAATGTGATGCTAAAACAATATCCCTGCAAGCAGGAGAGAAAGGGGCATTACAGTAGTACCTCGGGTTACATACGCTTCAGGTTACATACGCTTCAGGTTACACACTCCGCTAACCCAGAAATAGTGCTTCAGGTTAAGAACTTTGCTTCAGGATAAAAACAGAAATCAGGCTCCGGCAGCGTGGCGGCAGCAGGTGGCCCCATTAGCTAAAGTGGTGCTTCAGGTTAAGAACAGTTTCAGGTTAAGAATGGACCTCCGGAACGAATTAAGTACTTAACCCAAGGTACCACTGTATTGCAATTTGGAGGGAAATTCAGCAGCTGTAGCTCAGCTAGTATAATGTTGCAAAGATGAGAAGACATGTATCTGCTGAAATTTCCTCTATATACGTCATTGTTAAAAGTACAGGAACATTATTATTGCATTTACCCTACCTATGCACTGTATGGCCCTGGACATCTGAAACTTTGAGTGGCCACTGGCTGCTACTGATATAACAATATTTGCTGCCTGTAGCTTACTGTGGTGCACACTGCAACATAGAAACATGTCATAGGATAAGGCTCCATCACTGCCCCATTTTATCTTTGGGGTGTTTTCAGAGATCTTTTAAAAATGCAATCAGCCTTCTTTATCTCAGACATCCAGAAGTCAAGAGTGAGGTTGGGAGAACTGGTTGTATTTCTTTGATAAGGCACATATAAGTAATGAATGCACATGACTTTTGCAGTATGCATAATCTGCAGCAGCCTGCCACGTGACTGCATGTTCATTGGGTTAAATTCACAAGCAGTTGACCTCATGGATAAACAGACAGCTGCAGTGCTTTTTTCTGGGGGGACGCATTCACAAAATGTTCAGGGGTATGCGTATACCCCTAAACATTTTGTGAATCTTTGTACTTTTGTCCATTTACTGTATTTATTTCCCCCAATTTGAGCTATAAAATGGTGATTTTCTTGAGTAAAAATGAGAGCACCCTTAAACATATTTTTTTTAGAAAAAAAAGCACTGGACAGCTGTACTGCCTCTTGCATCACATCAACTAAAGGGAACAATGGAATTCGAGAAACCTGAATTCTTCATAAGTCGCCACTTTCTGGTGCACTGCTCGGAACTTGGCTTCATTCTCTCTCTGGTACTTTTCATCAGCGGCAATAGCTTCTTCCAACTCTTTCTCCAAAGCACGGAAGTCGATCGCACCCTCCATCTCAGGTTATCTAGAAACAACGGGACATTTTAAAAACAAACAACTCTTATCCCGAAGAACTCTAGAAACACATCTCGTGGGAATCAAAGCATTGGGGGGCACCCAAGTGCAGAGAAATTAAGCTATGCTACTAAATGCTAATCCACGAATATCGCTATGCAGTTCCCACCATAGCTGTCAACCTTCCCTTTTTTTGCGGGAAATTCCCTTATTCCAGCGCCATTTCCCGCTGCTTCCCGCTGCTATCCCGGATTGTTAGATATCCCATAGACTGTCCGGGACAGGTGAGGCTGTTGATCCCTTATTTTCGAGGCTGCTGATCCCTTATTTTCAAATCTGAAAGTTGACAGTTATGCTTTCCACTTCCCAAGCGGCCAAAGGTTCCAGGAGTGGAGATGCACCAAGGGGTTTTTGCTTTCTTCGGAGAGCGAGAACAAAACATTTACAGTAGCTTTGCAATATTTGCTTGATTTTTACAGCAAAGAGCACTGCAGAAGCATATCAATATGGCAAAGCATCGGGTTCTCAGAGGAAGCCCCTGCGCCCTGAGGTGCAGGGAATTTTCCGTATCTCTTTTAGCTCTGGGTGGGGTGGTATCTCATCCCACAATTCTGATGCGTCATTCCAAGGACTGGTCCACATCCTGCACCTATGAATTCCACGGGTCTACGTGGAAAAACGACCCTGGGTACCACTCCCAGATAATGAGGAACTGAGGTTATTTATTACACCGGTTTATGGCTCTGCGGAAGTCGTCTCCAAATCCACCTCCGCTTTCCCCGTTCCCCACCCCGCACCGGCTAGGCATCAGGTTTCCATAGCAACGAGGCCTAGGTTTGGTTTCCATAACAACCAGACCACGCCGGGACGCGAAGGACCCTCCGAAGAAAGGAGTTGCCTTCGCTAGTCGCCTGATTATAATCTTCATTCTCTGCCCTCCCACGTCTATATAAGAATCAGAAGAATGCCTTTACGTGCCTCCCCGAACACCGGTATTTTATTTTATTTTATTTAAATGAAGGGGGAAAGCGACGAATCGGCCAGGCAATAGGATAGGCAGCCTCTTTCGGAGGAAGCGGCGGAGGGCCTTTCCACGGCAGCGTCGCAGCGGCGCGCGACGGAAAAAGAAGAACGTCGCGAGCAACGCGCGCTTCTTCTCTCAGCGAGGGCTCCGTTCTGTGCTGAGAAAGGCGCCGCCGAGGAGGAAGGGAAGGCAGATAAGGTGCGCGTAATATTCGGCATGCGTGTGATATAGGCGTTTCTCAGCCGCACCGTGTTTGGTTCCCCAGGCCTCTAAGGACTAGAAACTTGATTTTTAGAAGAAGAAGAAGAAGAGGCGACAACTTCGGCTGTGGTCTTAAACGCCTTAAGCGGGATGGGGGAGGCCGAAGCCCCACTGAGGTCAAGGGTCTGTTATGAAGCCTGATGGGTTAAGCAGGGGCAGCGGCGTAGCGTGGGTTGTCAGCACCCGGGGCAAGGCAAGTAATTTGCGCCCCCTAACCTGCCGTCGCTGCCAGCTTCTAGCTGCTGCCTGGTCTGGTCTGGTGTGGTTCTCTCCCGCGCTCAGCGCTGCGCTGGGGCCGCTGCACTGTCCCTCCCCCAGATAGTCCCTCGCTCTCTCTCCGCACCGCATGCCTGGCACCCACCCCCTCCACAGTGGGCGGCGACCCAGCGGCTCGGATCGGATTCGCACAGCCAGCACTGCAGTGAGAGAGAGTGAGTGAGCCAGGTAGGGGCAGAGAGTTGTGAGTGCGAGCGCGCCCCCCCCCACAGATGTTGCGCCCAGTGCGGACGGCCCCCCCTGGCCCCCCCATGCTACGCCACTGAGCAGGGGCACTTGAGTAAACTAGAAGGTACAAATGAACTAGAAATAAGGGCCAGGCGCTACTGTGATGGACAGCTGTGGAGGTTGCTACAGGCGAGGTTCACAATAAAAATAAGCAAATAAGCTGTCAAAAACACAATAAGCAGGAAAACACGCTCACACTCCTACACTCCTTATATCTATACTGAATAGCTAGCAAAATTCAGCAATACAAAAAAAAACCAAACAAAAAAAACACACACACACACTTTCAGGATAAAAACTGACCTTGCTATACTTGTTTCAAAGGCTTTTCTTCTTTCCAGGGTCCGGCAACATGGATACAGATCTGTATGATGAATTTGGGAATTATATTGGCCCAGAGCTTGATTCTGATGATGATGACGACGAGATGGGTCGGGATTCAAAGGATCTAGATGAGGTATGGGGATTATGCTTCCTCTAAATGTTAACTATACTAAAGGCCACCCGATGGTTTTAGTTAAGGCTGTTGGATGATTAAATATTTCAGTTATTCATTTGGTTAAGTAGTTAATTTAATTTTTTAGGATCATGGAAAAAAGGTGTCATGTTCATTCAAGGAAACTAGCCATGTTTCACGGTCGCTGCAAAGGCAACTGGGTGTCCCATGACACTTTGAAGTCCAACAGATAAATTGCACACGCAGGTCCCATTTTACAAATGCTCACTGTGCAAAAATTCACTTACCCCAACACAAGGGATTAGTACCCAAACCTGCCTATATGCACCACAGATTTTGTGGTCGGGAACGCATTAGAAATTTTCCCGTAGAAATCCATGGAAATCATTAATTCTTTATGTGAACATTCACCTAACAATTTCCAGAGAACGCATTGTGTTCATGACGCAGGACCTGAGTGTATGAACTTTTGCAAGCTTGATGTTGCCATCATCAAGTGATGAACATGCACGTGGGAGCCAACCCCAAGTTCCATAATTGGGACTGCACTGGATGGAAATTGCTAGGGACCAGCTGAAGGCCCTTCATTCTGTTTTCAGCTCGATGAGGACGACGATGATGATGACATTGGAGACCACGATGATGACCACCCTGGGATGGATGTGGTACTGCATGAGGATAAGAAATACTATCCAACGGCTGAGGAGGTTTACGGTCCAGAGGTGGAGACCATTGTGCAAGAGGAAGACACACAGCCTTTGACAGGTGAGAAATTATAGAACCAGCTTGTCAGGGAGAAGGCAGGAGTCTTCTGCATAGCATACTGGATCAGCAGTCATTCAGTTGAGCACCTATCTGCAATCTGAAATGGGAAAGCCAAGAAACAATTTTATTTCCACTGGATTGCTCCATCTGTACTGTTTGCACCCAATGACTGGAGGTAACTTTCCAAGATCTTTCCAAACCTTAACAGAGACTTCGGTCACAGATACCAGGAACTGAACCTGGGATCAGGGACACGCAAAAAGTTTGTGTTTTGCTCCTTTTTTCTACTTGGCTGAGTGTTGAGGTAGGGCTTTTCTGCTTTTCTCTTTAAAGGGATATTATTTCTTGTGTTTGTTTTCAGAGCCTATTATTAAACCCGTGAAGACCAAGAAATTCTCCCTCATGGAGCAAACATTGCCAGTCACAGTGTATGAGATGGAGTGAGTATAGCTTGTTTGTTCTCTTTTTCTCTCTTTCCCTGTGCAACTCCCTTCTGTTGGTACTTCTAGCTCTCTCACATCTACAGACAAGCAGAGGAGGAGTTAGTAATCATGTTATTCCTCTAAATTTATTCCCAATTCTATTTTGTAGCCTTGGGGCATATTAAAGGTAAAGGGACCCCTGACCATTAGGTCCAGTCGTGGCCGACTCTGGGGTTGCGACGCTCATCTCGCTTTATTGGCCGAGGGAGCCGGTGTACATCTTCCAGGTCATGTGGCCAAGCATGACTAAGCCGCATCTGGCGATACCACAGCAGCGCACGGAAACGCCGTTTACCTTCCCGCCAGAGCGGTACCTATTTATCTACTTGCACTTTTGGTGTGCTTTCGAACTGCTAGGTTGGCAGGAACAGGGACGAAGCAACAGTTAATTCTCCTTACAGTCCAAATAATACAAAGTCTTAACCAGATGTGTTTACTTATTTCTCCACACACCCACTTACAAAATTACCCCTCCATCACATATAAACTCCTTCCAATTACCAGTTCAAGGGTTGGGAACCTGAGGCCCTCCAGATGTCATTGAACTACAACTCCCATCGTCTATGACCATTGGTGGCAGGGGCTCATGAGAGTTGAAGTGCAACAGCATCTGGAGGGCCATAGGTTAATGCTTCTAAAATTCAGGATAAACACCATGTGGTCCTGTTGGTTCTCCCTCCCCTTTCCAGTGATGTGGAAGAAGGGTTTGGAAAGGCAGAGCTGTGGATTAAGCTTGAGAGGTGAAGGCAACTAAGAGTACTTTAAAAAGATAGTGACTATCAACTAAAAATCAAAGTAGACTATGAAAAGCTTTTTCAGTATATCAGAAGATACTGGTGATTTTGATTTCTGTGGCAGGGAGGGGGTTGTAACTCAGATAAAGAGAATTATTTTACGTTACTTGGCAGCGTGTATAACTGAAAGCTTCCCTGTTCCTTTGGTCTTCTCTAGTTTCCTAGCAGACTTGATGGACAACTCAGAGCTGATTCGGAATGTTACACTTTGTGGGCACCTGCATCATGGCAAGGTTAGCATCAATTAATATATTTAAGGCAGCTCAGGAGTAGCTGTGGTCCATTCCGTAGATGTGGCAGAATTCTGATGTACTCACTCAGTACACGTGTGGTTCTTGTTTTTGAATAAACTGGATTCAGTGTATGGTTCCCCAGGTTAAAGGTTTTAGAGTTCCTTGAGGCCCTTCCAAGACTTTGGGCCTCAGAGTTAGTTCTGTCTACAAGATGCACCCCAGAGCAATTCCTAACACACATACTTCTCACCCTTAAGTTGCAGTTATGCCGGAATGGTGTCATCATTTTAGCTTGCTTACTGGTTTTTTGAAGCCAGGGCAGTCAATTTAGATAAACTATTAGGGAGAGTCTGCAAGTGTTGCTGGCTTCTCAGTTGCCAGGTCTCTATCCTATCTTCTTTTGTTCACATTTTTATAAAACGGGATGGGGTTGGTGGTAGAATTTATTAATGTTTTTACTGGATATGGAATAACGGTTGTTGATATAATTGTGAGGAAATTGCAAAAGTGCATTGATTGTAGTTCTGAAATTGGGATTGGGAGTTCGGATTGGGAGTGGGAGAGAGGCAGAGATGCAACATCCTTATGCTTCCTGGACTGGTCACATTTAGCTAGCTAATTCATGCCTTGCCAATTCATTTCTTTTTGTTTCTCTGGCTCCTTCCAGACTTGCTTTGTGGATTGCCTGGTTGAACAGACTCATCCTGAGATCAGAAAGCGTTATGACCAGGATGTAAGTTACCTTTATACTTTGTTTTTAATCCTTTAAGAGGTAGGTTTATGATGCTGTTGTCTAAAGATTTAGATGCATATGGGCTAACTGTCAGTTAAAGAGATCTTAGTCGATTCATCATGGGGTTTGTTTGTTTGATTAATAAATCAATTAAGTGTGCATCAATTTGTATACAGTGGTACCTCTGGTTACAAACTTAATTCATTCCGGAGGTCCATTCTTAACCTGAAACCATTCTTAACCTGAGGTACCACTTCAGCTAATGGGGCCTCCCGCTGCCGCTGCGCCACCAGCACACGATTTCTGTTCTCATCCTGGGGCAAAGTTCTTAACCCGAGGTACTACCAAGTTAGTGGAGTCTGTAACCCGAAGTGTTTGTAACCCGAGGTGCCACTGTACGTATATGTAAAAACAGTAGTTTTGAAGCAGATTAAAGATGATGTGTCTTATAAACTTATCAAAAGATGGAGTTTGTTTATGCATTTCTAGAACTCAAAACACCAGGAAAATTATCAGCCATATGCTTTGATTAAATTAAGTTGAAGTGATTTGAAGTCTTCATTTTTCTTTCTTCATCCATTATTGATTGCTTTACTGATTGTTTATTTATTGTATGCCTTTGTTGTTTTGTTTAGAAACCTAAACATATTACTTTAGTGTTTGTGTGTGTGTGTGTGTGTGTGTATATGTGTGTGTGTGTGTGTGTGTGTACACACACAAACACACACACAGAGCGCTTTTTCTGGGGGGATGCAGGAGTATGTATACCCCTAAACATTTTGTGAATCCAAGTTTGGCCTCATTGAGGGGCAGTATTTCAATATGAGTAGGAAAATGAGAGTAGCCCTAAACATTTTTTTAGGAAAAAGCGCTCTGTGTGTGTGTGTGTGTAGAGAGAGAGAGGGAAAAAAAGAAAAAGATGACGTGGAAGAACATACTCCACCTTAAATGATCTGGCTGTTGAGTAAATTTTTTTATTGTTCCTTTCAGCTTTGCTATACAGATATACTCTTCACTGAGCAAGAGGTAAGTATATCTGCTGCACAGACTTCTCAGCCATTATGAAAGTGCAATGTGGGGGGAGATACGGTACAAGGTGTTGCAGAGAGGTCTGAAATGCATGCACCATGTGTGCTGGATCTCTTGTTGTATTGCTAGTGTCTCCAGTACTCACAGGAAAAATCTTGAGCTTGTATCCAGCTATGTTCTGCTCAGTGTACATCTTATTATTGAAATTATTACACCAAAGCTAGCATTGCTCTTAATTTCAGTGGGTGTATTCCAACTAAGACTAATGCCAGGTGCAATCCTTTGTCTCTCTGCTTGAGTTTCTCATAATGTCAAGTTCCATACCAGGTAACCATTTCCCGTAGTTACATGTCAGTATTGTAGTCTGAGGAATACATACTGTTCTTGGTCATGCCACTGTCATGTGCCCTCTATGCTGTGCCCTCTAATGTCATGGTCCACATTTTCAGCCCAAACTCTCAACTTTCACCCCTCTCCCATCTTGACCTTGGTTTCTTTTCAGAGAGGAGTTGGGATCAAGAGCACGCCAGTGACCATTGTTCTCCCAGACACAAAGGGCAAATCATTTCTCTTCAACATCATGGACACACCAGGTGAGTTTGGGTGTCTGGGAGACTCACCCCATAACATAAAAACTGGCAGGAAACACAGGATAAGGTGTTTTTAAAAAGACTGTTTTCAAAAACAGGCTAACAATGATATAGAGAAATTTATATTATGAAGAAGGTGCAATAATCTCAGCTGATGCTTTTTGACCACACATCTTTTTTGTCTTTTGCACAGCCTGAAGTGCTTAGTGAGGAATAAATTGCCATTTGCAAGCCAGGTCCTTATGTGAATAGCCTCACGGTTGCCCTGGAAATGGAGAATTTAAGCATACTTCATTATGAGCTGAATTGTGGCCAACCCTTTAAACCACCCTCTCAAATTTGACTGGCTTGGGCAGCTGTGTGGTTTTGGGGGTTTAGGTTTTTTGCACCATTCCTTGTAATCTTAGCTTGCTTTCATTCCAGTTGAGGTTTCCATTATAGCAGCACTTACCCCCACTTACTAAATTTAATAGAACTGACTTCTGAGTACAGTAGACGGGCATGGTTAGGATTCTGCTGGAAGTATGTCAGCTCATATTGAATGCAGGATCTGTACATCAAGGGAGTTGCCTCCTCCTGCTCCCCAGTACCTGGCTAGATTTGTGATCCCCTGAAAAGGGGCGAGTATTGGGTCGTCCAAGTCATTGTTATGATGCCAGAACTCTCCTGTGGACTTCAGGTGCTGCAGGCTCTCTCCATCCTCTACTTTTCTATCATGCTACACTTTCCCCTTGAACTCTGCCTTGAGCTGTCTCTTCCCTTGTCATAGGGCTGTGCAAGAGATATTCCAGTTCACCTCCTTCTCTGTGAAGCACATACTGCAACTTTCCACTTCTGGATGATTATAAATATATATATTTTCACTCCCTAAAGGTCATGTAAACTTCTCCGACGAGGTCACAGCAGGTCTCCGCATTTCTGATGGTGTCGTACTCTTTATTGATGCTGCTGAGGGAGTGAGTATATGTGGGCACGCTTTTTGTGGGTTTGGCTATTCTTTCCATTCACACAAGGAGATGTATTGCACAGAAAGGTTGCAATTAAGAGGATTGCTTATGAGAAGCTAGCACCTTTTACTAAGAATCAGGGCCCCTGGGATTCTGCACCAAGAATCTGGAAGAAGCTGACAGATTTTTAAACTGGAATGCTGCCAGACATAAATTATGAGAATTCAGCATGCTTCAGATATGAGAGGGAGGAATTGTCCACAGAAGACAGGGAGCAAGTTCAAATGCCAGGAAGGCTGAATCAGGTTTTAGTTTAGAAAGTGATGTGTGCAGTAGTGCAACACTTCAGCCAAGGAAATTTTTGGGATTTCCTTCTTTCAAGACCAGGCATCTTTCAGAGGGGTCCTTAAGGCATAGAATATCACAGTGAGGCTGCAGGCAGAGCTAGACATGAAGAGAAGCTATCTGGCAGCAGCTGCTTGTTGATTGAGGCATTTTCAAAGTAAAGGAAGGATTGAACTCTGATTAATAAGAATACACACAGAGGCTTGAACCAGCAAGACTCTGGGAAGGGTGCGTATAATCGTCTCTCTGTGCCTCTTTTTTCTGCAGCCCCTGGCCCAGGTAGTTTTATTCACAAAAGAACTTTTTACAGAGTGTTCGTAAGAACCAATCAGATTTCTTCTGAGCATTTCAACAAACCCACGTGGGGAGAAAGTTAAACCACCATAACTAATTCAGCACAGGGTAAACAAAGAACAGAACTACAAAGAAGAGCATTTGGCAATCCCGGAGGTGATAAACAAGCAATACATATGATAAGGAGGATGGCCAGGAGGACAACGATCATTATCACCTTCATGTGAGATCTGTTTCCTGGCCCTAAGATTAACACCCTGAGATTAACATATAGAAAGCTACATAAAAGAAACTTGCCCACTGTCTATGATGACCCAGGAGCCTGCCTGTCTAAGCAACTGGGCTATGTACATGACATGTGAAGAGAGAAATGGGCAGTAGAGGAAATGGCCAGAGATGCAGAGGCTTGTGGGATTTGATCAGAAATTATTGTCAATGTATCAAACCCAGTCAACACAATGCATTCATCGTGGACACAATGGCTTGATGCATATTTTATAATTCCTCATAGTAAACCCACCTGACCCCACATTCTGGATATTTGCACTCCTACATTGATGAGGTTTCTTTGTTGTCTGGCTCTGGTTGGTGTTCTTTTTAAAGTAATAGAATCATTAGTTGTTGTTGTTGTTGTTAAAGTTAAAGTGTGTTTAGTTTGTCCTGTTTTTCAGGGTTTCATATCCTTGAAATTACGTATTTGATTTTAATTTTCCTACTGATTCTTTCAAAGAGTCTCCCCTCAAAACTCATAACGAGCCACACGTTCTCAGTGTCCTCCCACTCCTACCCCATTTCTGGTGTTGAAGAAAAACAGCTCTGTGTCTCCCCCACCCTTTAAAAAAAAAAAACTAATAAGCAAACCACATGACACGATGTTATTTTGCTTCAGGTTTCCCTGAATTCGTAAGTAGCAGCCATGGAGTAAAGATGGGCAAAATTCAAAAGTGTGGTGACATCACACAACTTCCATTTTTCTTTCTAGATGCTACAGGGAGAAAGATGTGAGGACTGTTTTTTGGTGGCCATTGCCTATCTCGTGCAATGTTTGGTTCCATCGTTTCCTACAGATCACCAGCTGAGTCTCAGTGGATCAGAGCACCTTTCACCAGCACATGGACACAGTTATCCATGTCCTGGTAACTTCTAGTGGTGCGTGATGAAGTTTTGTAGGACCAGTTAATAGCACAATGAATACATCCTTAGTTGGGCAACTTGTATGTACTGCTGCCTGATCAGGGTTGTTCTGAGTGAGGAAGGGATGCCCCTCCCCTTTAGTATCACTGAAGACTGATAGCTCTCTCTGTTAACCAAGAGGGACTGCCCCATCTCAGATTGCCCCATCCAAAGACTGCCCCCTTCTCTTTGCACTAGCACCAGTTTCCTCCATTTTAAAGGGGTATCTTCTGCTTCTCTCTGCATTTATGTGCTGCTGCACCATAAAATTTAATCTTCCTCCCTCTCCTGTATGTTCATTTCCCCATGTGATTAAGAGCTTTATTTTTGTCAAAGGTCATTGGATGGGGCAGGCTTAAAGGAAGACAATGTTGCATTAAACACATTTTCTAAAAGCGGACCTCATGCTGATTGCTGAGCATACACGCTCCTGCAGGCTGCTCTTCCAGCAGGGAAGGGTCAGCGCCCGATTCCTCACGCCCCACCTGGCATCATCTTCTATTGTGTGTCCCCGTAGGTCATGCTCAACACCGAACGGTTGATCAAGCATGCAGTGCAGGAGAGGCTGGCAGTGACCGTGTGCATTAACAAGATTGACCGGCTGATACTGGAACTGAAATTGCCTCCTACTGACGCTTACTACAAGCTGCGGCACATAGTGGATGAAGTCAACGGCTTAATCAGGTATAGAAATGCCAGCATTTATAACATGCTTTTGAGAGTTAAGTTAGTTCCATTGACACTCACCATTGGATATAACCATGGATGCAAAGCCACACCCAGCTCACTCTATAAGAAAGAGAGAGACCAACCAAATTTGGGGAGTCTTACACCTAATCCATTTTTTAGGGAATCCACAATCTTTACCTCGATTTATATTTGTGAACGTTAGAAGTCCCAGTGTTGGATATAGGTAAAAGTCTACTGAAGTATAGGCACCTAACCTCCATGAAATTTAAACTTTCATTTCTTCCCCATCACTCCTTAAAGGGGAATTATAATTGTGCCAAAGTTTTTGTTCTCTCTGCTTAACTGGCAGACCTAATTCATTCAATCATTTAAAGAATTGGTGTTTTTTTTATAACTATCAAACATGTATTTACATTTAATCGATTAATTGTAAATGTCAATGCTGGAGTATCCCTGGTGTGTCAGAATTCTTGTTAGACTTCATAAATGAAGTTTTCTGAAATGCTTTGTTATTGTAGCAGCTGAAACTGCTGCCTTTCCCTTTGTGTGTGTCTTGATAGCAGTGCTGCCTGGTTCTGTCTTATTTTAAAACCACTTCTTTGTTTGCAGCATGTATTCCACAGATGAGAATCTGATTCTTTCACCACTCCTGGGCAACGTCTGTTTTGCCAGCTCCCAGTACAGCATCTGTTTCACGCTGGGTTCTTTTGCCAAGATCTATGCTGACATGTACGGTAAGCATTAGCCAAAATGTTCGTGTGCATGTCAGGGGACACCTTGGCTCTTGACTCCTTCTGAAAGGTTCACACAACCTTGCAGTGAGGATGTGTCTGCTATGTTTGTAGCCTTTTCTGCATTGAAAATCATCTGTGCTTTTTCTGTATGCAACTTATCTTTGCCAGTTCTCAAGGTTTCCATCACGTTCTAGGGGAGTGCTGGGGCTCTGCAAATGGCTGGAGGCATCAGAGGCAGAGATCTGGTTTGTTTGCCACTTCAGTGATGTCCCGGGGTGCACCACTTTCTCCCATGTAACTAAATGCTTGCCATTCACTCCTCCTTAGTCGTAACTGAGACTGTATTGCCTGCTGTGATCTGCTTTACATGCAGCTTATAAGATAGCAATGCAGTTTAGTTAAGAATCTATCCGTCTCTTGATGAAAAGCCTATGTATAAATGCTGTATAAATGTTAGTCCCTTGACTTGGAGCACGCTCCCCATCTCTTTTGAGCCGGTGGGCAGAGATGGATCAAGTGTTGTGAGGACTCCTGGGGGGGCATTGTTGTTGCGCCACATAGATCATACCTTCATCAAGTCCTTCTCAGTGGATGCTGTTAGGACTAAGATGGCGAGGAGAGGTTAGACGAGCTTCGCGCCTGCCATGAAGGTCTTCCAAGGGCAGTGCTTTATTTTTCCTAAAGGCGAGAGTGGCAGACATTTGCTTATATGGGAAACTGTAAGGTCAGGACACATTTGGAATGGGGGTAATGGTGTCATCTGTCCTTTATGGCCATAGAGTTTTGTAGGGACATATTTTGCTCCTCCCCCTCAAGTTGCTGATTTTACCCCAATTAACTTATGCTATACGATTCGATGGGAACCTGGCATGCTTGAATTGGATGGCCATTATGTTCTGATAATGCATTTTATGAATTTTTGTACACCAGCTTGAAGGCAGTATTTAAATAGGTAGCCATAAATGAAATAATAATTGAGAGCAGAGCTATTTATGTTTGCATTATCCCACCCATTTATATAGTTTCATGTTGTGTTCCTATAATTTCCTTAGTCAGATTCAAGTGATATTTATTTATTTTTTAAGGAACTGGTTAGCGTACATATAGTTGTAGCTGCAGTGATTCACTGCCCTCATTGTTCTAGTTTGCATTCTAATTAATTGCTTCTTTTTGCAACATGAGCATATCCAGGGCAGGTCCAAGCTGGGTACACAATGGAAGGAATTATGCAGCTTTAAAGGAAACTGGTTGAAGATAAAACTGTCAGTCTGACTCTCAAAATTCACTATATGCTTTAAATCATGTGAAAAATAGGCCACAAAAGCTGTATAAACTGGACCTTCTGTTCATTTTAGGAGACATCAATTACCAGGAGTTTGCAAAGCGCCTTTGGGGAGACATCTACTTCAACCCCAAGACGTAAGGAGCTCTTGCTTTTTATTCTTAATTCATTGTCCTTTTCCATTGCAGCTTTACCTAAACCATGTAAATTAGCAACCCAAAAATAGCAACTATCTTACGCATACCAAATGCTGAGATAAAAGACAGAAAGTAAGTCAGATGTTTTCTCTTTGGTGTAAGGATATTGTAGAGTTCCGTTAACATCAGCCCACTGTTCCGAGGTGAGTCAACACCTCCCAGGTGTGCAGAATAATATTTAAACCAAGTAATGTCATGTGTAGAAAAAAGGTGGACTGAGAAAATAACTCTGGATTGTTCCAGGAAGCAAGCCAAGTTGCGTGCTACTGAAAAAAAGCTTCCATATCCCAAATATGGCAGTCTCCTAACCCTGAGTGTAACTCATCTACGTAGTCATCCCAAGAGAAAAAATATAGATGCAGTTTCATACTACCCAACATCTAGATTCAGGTAGAGGAATGTAGAGCAAAAAAATGGCACTTCTAGTAGTAATAATTCATATTCGTCCCAAGGTTTCTACGCCTCATGGTTGGGAGAATGAAAATGTGCACACACATGCTTTTTTCCAGTTTACCTCTCCTGGTCCGTGATTAGAAATTTTCTCAAGCGTGCAGATAATGGCCACTGGGAAAGGCTTTTTTGACTAGTCTTTAGAAGCACTTAGGTGTTGACCTTGTGTGTTTTTTTAGGAGAAAATTCACCAAAAAAGCCCCAACCAGTAGTTCACAGCGGAGCTTTGTGGAATTCATCCTTGAGCCTCTCTACAAGATACTAGCTCAGGTACGTTTTGGATTCCCATGGATGGATGGTTGGATGGATGGATGGATGGATGGATAACCCCTGACTGTGAATACACGCATACACAGAGTATTTATCCAAGAAAATATAGCTAGAATAAGAGAAATTATTATTATTATTATTTATTTTATTTTATTTTGACAAAGTAATAATAATAAATAAATAAGAATAAAAATTGTAACTATCCAACCTCCCAAAATTTCAACACCTCTTGCGATGGTTTCACCCCTTTCCATTTTAACAGTACAAACACCCTCCATATCTCCTCAAAATCATTTCTCCTGCATATTCCCCATCTTGCCTTAATAATAATAATAATAATAATAATAATAATAATAATAATTTATTTATTCCCCGCCCATCTGGCTGGGTTTCCCCAGCCACTCTGGGTGGCTTCCAACTGAATATAAAAATAAAATATTAATGGCAAATGTTAATTTATCATTAATAGCTATATCCCACACCTCTTTATACCATTCTTCCATTTTGTATTCTGCTTGCCCCTTCCACTTCCTAGCTATAATATTTTGTGCAGCTGTCAATAAATTTGTGAGCAAGTCCTTCACAGCCTGCGAATCTTCTACCCCATCGTAAATGGATAACAATGCTACCCCTGGTCTTTCGGTTAGCTTTAACCTAGTGATTTCTGTTATCTCCTTAAACACCCTTTGCCAAAAAATGTACATATTTACACCAGTTTTATTTTTTAAGGCAGAGATTTAAACAAATGCTAAAAAAAGCTTTTTTAAAAAAAGTTAAGCCGCTCCTGGTCTGGAACCTTCTCTGCTTCGATCTTCCGCCTGCTCACTTCCTCGCTTCTCCCCAGGTTGTTGGGGACGTTGACACCACCCTGCCCCGGACTCTGGATGAACTGGGGATCCACCTGACCAAAGAAGAGTTGAAACTCAACATCCGCCCCCTCTTGAGGCTCGTCTGCAAGAAGTTTTTTGGGGAGTTTACAGGTAGGCTTCATCGTCCTTCTCTTTTCTCGCAGTGTGGTTTATCTCCTTGCCAAAGAGGACTGCCAAATGTGTGTGTTGAAGCAAGCTACCTCTGGCTGAGGGATTTTGAGGAAACCCCTTTTTTGGCGTTGAGTGTCAGTGCTGCATTGCAATTTAACAATAATAATAATAATAATAATAATAAATAATAAATTTTTATTTATATCCCACTCTCCCCAGCCGAAGCCGGGCTCAGAGCGGCTAACAACAGTAAAAATAACACAGTTTAAATAAAATCACAATCATTTAATTGAAATTCATTCTAAAATCAATTCATTCTAAAATCAATTCATTCTAAAATCAATTCAGAGTCAAATTAATGCAACCATTGGGCTAGAGTTCTATGAGGATTACAGAAGGAGGGGGTCAGACTGTCCCTTGGCCAAAGGCCTGGTGGAACAGCTTTGTCTTGCAGGCCCTGCGGAAAGATGTAAAGTCCCACAGGGCCCTAGTTCTCTTGTGACAGAGCGTTCCACCAGATCGGGGCCACAGCCGAAAAAGCCCTGGCTCTGGTTGAGGCCAGCCTAACCTCCCTGGGCCCAGGATCTCCCAAGATGTTTTTATTTGAAGACCGTAAGGTCCTCCGTGGGACATACCAGGAGAGGCGGTCCCGTAGGTACGAGGGTCCTAGGCCGTATAGGGCTTTAAAGGATAAAACCAGCACCTTAAACCTGATCCTGTACTCCACTGGGAGCCAGTGCAGCTGGTATAGCACCGAGTGAATGTGATCCCGCGGCGAGGACCCTGTAAGGAGTCTTGCCACGGCGTTCTGCACTCGTTACAATAATCAAGTCTGGAGGTGACCATCACGTGGATCACAGTGACTAGGTCAGGGTGAGAAAGACTGGCCTTTTTTATTCAAGACAATATTAACCCAGAAGAGGGTGGTCTAGTGTATCAATCTAGGACTGGGAAGACCTAAGCTCAAATACCCATTTGGTTGTGAAGTTTGCTGGGTGACCTTGGGCTAGTGGCTACCTCACAGGGCTATTGTGAGGGTAAAGTCAGGACATCTTGGCTCTTGACTCGTTCTGAAAGACTTATGTGTATTGTGAAACCCAACCTTGCTTTATGAGCATCTTGGAGGAGGGTAAGATAAAAGGATCTTGGGAGTGCAGCCATTGTGTTTGTTTCACATTTGCTTCACCCTCCTGCTTGTGAGTCTTAATGGAAACGTAAGGACTGGAGAAGGATGCTAGAGAGAGTTTCATACCAGTAGCAATGAGTTCCACCGGCTAATTATAAGTTATGAGAAATGGTATTTCCATTTAGTCTGCCTTTATACTTGCTGTACCTCAGCTACAGTGGATGATGCTACGTTTTTGTATTTTGGGTGAGAATGATTAATTTATAAATCCTCTCACTTGTGTTGTTTGATCTTGGGGAGACAGCAGGAGGAATCCATGTGTCAAGAGCCGCTAGCTTAGTTCAAGAAGAGTTGGAAGATATCTGTAATGGTTCTAGGGGTTGCTCGTGCGTAAGCCGGTGCTTATCTCCCCGGCTGGGTGCAAACACCTGGCTGGGTTGCCAAAGTGAACCTTTTCTGTCCGGACAGCCGCTCACCCGTGGCTGTCTCAATCGCTGGCAGAATCCGTCAGTGGGCGTTTCTTAAACTTCTTCCAGCAAAGAAGCTCTTTGACGCCTAGTCTCCTCCTACTTTCTCTGCACGAAAGCCTTCTGCGCAAGGAGGGCGTGGGCAACGGAGGACCCCTACTCTACCCGCTGGTCCCAGGCAAGGAGTCATGGGACCGCCTCGCCGCTTCCCCCATCTGCCCCCCTTCTCCACTGGTGCTACGCAGATTCTCTTCCCCAGAAGATGGGCTGCTTCTCCCGATCCCTGGACGCTCTCTGGAATCCCTCTGGCTTTTGCTCTCTCCCTCCGGCACTGATGGCAGTTCCCTGACAATATCAGTTTTGTCTGGCCTTATCCGTCACAGCTGCAGACCTGTGTTTTTCAGAGCGCATGGTCAGCATGCTGCGTGAACAGAAAGCACACGCTAGAACAAATTCCAGCGTTTAAGGCTTAAGACGAATCAATGTGGAAAGTGTTCCTTACAGGTACAAAGTTGAAGCCAGGTGAAGGTGAAAACTAACACAGGCTTCCTCTTCCTGAAAATCATGCCAGTGTGGTGTAGTGGTTAAGAGCGGTAGTCTTGTAATCTGGGGAACCGGGTTCGCGTCTCCGCTCCTCCACATGCAGCTGCTGGGTGACCTTCGGCCAGTCACACTTCTTTGAAGTCTCTCAGCCCCACTCACCTCACAGAGTGTTTGTTGTGGGGGAGGAAGGGAAAGGAGAATGTTAGCCGCTTTGAGGCTCCTTAAAGGAAGTGAAAGGTGGGATATCAAATCCAAACTCTTCTTCTTCAGTTTTTGAACTGCTGCCTCACCCAGTTTTGTTCTCCCAGGCTTTGTGGACATGTGCGTGCATCACATCCCCTCCCCAAAAGCGGGCGCAAAGACCAAGATTGAGCACAACTACACAGGCGGAGTTGACTCGGACCTGGGAGAGGCCATGAGCGAATGTGACCCTGATGTAAGACTTCCGTCTAACTCTCTTTCTTTGTTAATGGTAGTAAGCCTGGCTGCATGATTCTGAGCAGGAGAGGGCAAGCTCCATCCCTTCAGGTGTTGCTGAACTACAAGTCCCATCATCCCCGGCCATTGTTTCCTAGGGCTGATGGGGGTTGTGGTTCAGCGACATCTGGAGAGCCAAAGGTCCCCCAGTCCTGTTGTGGATGAAGGGCTTCATTTGGCAAGTCCTGCTAGTGGACTTCCCACAGACTGGCTGCGGTGAGAACAGGATGCAGAACTGGATAGGCCATTGGCCTGATCCAACAGGCTGTTCTTGTGGCAGTAAGAAAAGGAAGTTTGGTATTAAATCAGAACTTGGCTCTACAGTGGTACCTCTAGATACAAACGGGATCCGTTCCGGAGCCCCGTTCGCATCTAGAGCTAAACATAACTAGCGATGGCACGTCTGCGCATGCGCAAGCGGCGAAACCCGGAAGTAACGCACTCCGTTACTTCCGGGTTGCCAAGGAGCGCAACTCGAACGCGCTCAACTCGAAGCATATTTAACCCGAGGTATGACTGTACTTATGGGACGCGGGTGGCGCTGTGGGTTAAACCACAGAGCCTAGGACTTGCCGATCAGAAGGTCGGCGGTTCGAACCCCCGCAACAGGGTGAGCTCCCGTTGTTCAGTCCCAGCTCCTGCCAACCTAGCCGTTCGAAAGCACGTCAAAGTGCAAGTAGGTACCACTCCAGCGGGAAGGTAAACGGCGTTTCCGTGCGCTGCTCTGGTTCGCCAGAAGCTGCTAAGTCATGCTGGCCACCCGACCTGGAAGCTGTACGCCAGCTCCCTCGGCCAATAAAGTGAGATGAGCGTCGCAACCCCAGAGTCGGTCACGACTGGACCTAATGGTCAGGGGTCCTTTACTATGACTTTACTTGGAAGCAGTGTTCTGTAAGTCTGTTTTGATTTGATGGTTTGTCCATCACTTTGTAGATTATTATTTTTTTAAGTTATGCTGTTGCTTAGGTTCTATCACCTAACCCATATTACAGTCGTACCTCGGAAGTCGAATGTTTTGGTTCCTGAACGCCGCAATCCCGGAAGTGATTGTTCCGGTTTGCGGACGTTCTTTAGAACCCAAACGTCCATTGCTGCTTCTACGGCTTCTGATTGGCTGCAGGAGCTTCCTTGGAAGCCGCGCCTTGGTTCCCAAATGTTTTGGAAGTCGAACAGACTTCCGGAACGGATTCTGTTCGACTTCCAAGGTACGACTGTATAATTGTATACTTTATGTACCACTCTTTGCACAACCTGTGTGTATGCGAACGAATCTCCACTCAGTGGCCACTGTCACATGGGGAATTTTCAACGTGTTCCCACGCTGCATTTATAACATGTATGTAAACTGTTTCTAAGAATGATCTGTGATGAAATTGACTAAGAGCACCCACATGGGAGGGGTGGCCAAACATTGAAGTTTTATTTGTCAGCCACCCAAGCTAGTGGGTCAGAGAAACAGCAGACGCCTGAAGGGAGTGCACTTTGAGCTTAAACCCTATTTAACTGTCATGGCTGCGCCAAGAATAGATTTTGTAAATTCTGTCAGGGAGCTAAGTGTCTTAGGTCAAGCTTGATGTGATGGCAGCAGCCACCCTTGATCGTTCATGCCTTTGCCTCCTTCGTGGGTGAGCTGCAGTAGGCACTGACCTCAAAAGGCCGCACAAAAGATGAGAGCGGAACTTGGTGAAGTTGCTTCCCTGGGCCTGAGTTTGGAATTGGAGCTAGGCTGAAAGGAAAAACAGGCGGGCAGTGAAATCGTGGGATCTCGCTCTCCTCAACATGTGTCCTTTAAGGTAAAACAAGACCTATCCCTTGCCCACTTGATAGGGGAACAGGTCTGACTTATGAATAACAAGCATTAACTGCTGCCATTACATCTGTCTGTCTTATGTGTTTGATGTACAACCATTTGAGACACCTGTAACAGCTCCTATGTTTCTTTGGAGACCCCAGTGCCTTCTACACCCAACTCACAATGCCATAGGTTTGTTATTACAGTGGTACCTCAGGTTAAGTACTTAATTCGTTCCGGAGGTCCGTTCTTAACCTGAAACTGTTCTTAACCTGAAGCACCACTTTAGCTAATGGGGCCTCCTGCTGCTGCCACGCCGCCGGAGCACGATTTCTGTTCTCATCCTGAAGCAAAGTTCTTAACCCGAGGTACTATTTCTGGGTTAGCGGAGTCTGTAACCCGAAGCGTATGTAACCTGAGGTACCACTGTATATGAGTCCATAGAATAATGAACTTAATGGGTTTGGCCCAGGTGTTCCCTCAGCCCAGTATTGGCAGCCTCATCTTGGACAGCAGTGTCTGGATTTGGTCGCTCAAATTTCCAGGACTCAAATCCAAAAAGCAGCTGTTTTTCCTCTGGACCGTGGCCACTGTTTTCATACACCTTTGTCTGTATCCGTGGTGCACGAAGGCTGATCTTTGTCAAAACCTTTTGTCTGGAAGGGCCCGCTTATGTGCCACACCACAAAGATGTACAGTACGGACGACGGGGTCCAGTTCCATGCTTTCGGCAGGGTGCTGAGTGGGACCATCCACGCGGGGCAGCCTGTCAAGGTCCTTGGGGAAAACTACACCCTGGAAGATGAGGAGGACTCGCAGATTTGCACGGTGGGGCGCCTCTGGATCTCTGTAGCAAGGTAGGCGGTTCTGGGGAAGGCTTTACGCGGGATCCCTGCTTTGCATTCTCCATGCAGGTTGGGGTGGCAGGTGCAGTGTGAAACCCAACAAACAACACAAGCAACACGATGACCAGTATGCTAGATAGCACTGCAATTCTTATTGCATAATATACGTGATTTAGTACAACAAGAACAAAATGTGTACGCTTGTAAATTCTCTAATATATTTCAAATCAAATGAACATACGTCTGACAATCTTTGAAAGTCTGTAGAAGTATAATAAGTCTATAATTGAAGCAAAGTAATAGATGCTATCCTGTGGGCTAAGCGGTAAAACTTTTTAGGCGTTTATGGTGCCGAAGTAGTAAGTGAATAACAATGTTATTACATATCCTTATGACCACTGCTTCTTGTGCATTTTTCTAACCTGTGGGTTGTGCTGAAGAAGATTCCAGCAAAACAGTCAAATTATCCGGGATCACTGTCCTACGTTGTTATTCACTTACACTTTGGCACCATGAACGCCTAAAAAGTTTTATCACTTAGCCCACAGGATAGCATCTATTACTTTGTTTCAACTATAGACTGTTTATACTTCTACAGACTTTCAAAGATTGTCAGACGTGTGTTCATTTGATTTCAAATATATTAGAGAATTTACAAGTGTACACATTTTGTTTTAGTTGTACTAAATTATGTATATTATGCAATAAGAATTGCAGTGCTATCTAGCATACTGGTCATCGTGTTGCTTGTGTTGTTTGTTGTGTTAAGTTTGCAACACAGGGGTTTGTTGTTCTGTAGCAGTGTGAAACCCAGCACACAGTCTGGGATTTCTGCTGTTGTTGAAAGTACAGTGGTGCCCCGCAAGACGAATGCCTCGCAAGACAAAAAACTCACTAGACGAAAGGGTTTTTCGGTTTTGCGTTGCTTCGCTAGACGAATTTCCCTATGGGCTTGCTTCGCAAGACGAAAAAGTCTTGTGCTTTTTTTTTAAAGCCGCTTGAAGAGGCGCAGTTGCGACGGACCGTGCTTCGCAAGACGAAAAACATCGCAAGACGAAAAGACTCGCAGAACGAATTCTTTTCGTCTTGCGAGGCACCACTGTAGCTGCAGAGTGTGGGAGAGCACAGGTTGTGTGATGGGCTTGACCACCAGTAGTCAGGAGCTGTGCTGCTTTTGGGGCTAGCATGGTTTGTGGTGCCCACGACGCTTTCCCCTTGTCTCTTCTCTCTACATGGCTGGCCTGCATCTTGAGTGGTTTCCCACTTTCTGACAAACTGTTCAGACACACACACAATGTGCAGAAGTCACAGTTATGGACAGCCAAGAACAGTGTATTCCTTGGATGGGAAGCATGACTTTTTCAAAGGTGTAAAGAAGTCATGTGTATTATGGGCTGTCCCGTGAATCCGCTGGATGACATCGCGGAAGAACGTTGCCTCAGGAGAGTGAGGAAAATTCTCAGGGATGACTCACACCCTGGCCGGCACTTTCTTGATCTCCTGCCCTCGGGCAGAAGATATAGAAGCATGATTAGTCACACCAACAGGGTAAAGAACAGCTTCTATCCGTGGGCTGTTAGGCTGCTGAATGAAAATATAACAACAGGGCAACTGACTTCCAGGTTTGGTGGGTGTGCGTCAGTAAACGAGGGGAAATTAAGACTAAAAGAGCTGAGTGGGGGGTGCTTGTGTAATCTCACTGTATACAAGTTGTGCAAGTGACAATAAAGTATTTCAATTTCAATTCAATGTGTCTTATTTCAGGTATCACATAGAGGTGAACAGAGTCCCTGCTGGCAACTGGGTGCTCATCGAGGGAGTGGACCAGCCTATTGTGAAGACAGCCACCATCACTGAGCCCAGAGGCAATGAAGAGGTAAAGCAGCCGTCATCAACATCTCCCTTGTCTTGTGGGCAATGGAAATAGATATGAGAACAGCATGGTGCCTGCCCTCTGCAGCAGACCAATGTGGCATTCTGTGCATTGACACTGTCTCCTTGCCTGTTCTTCCATCCAGTCTGTTTTAGCCAAATAATATAAAAGGCTCCTCCTCAGCTGTGTGTGTATGTATCGGCCAGCTTCAGGTGTGCTTTAAGTGTTGAGTAGACCAGGACCTTAAGAATCTATACGTAATTTGTTTTTCTAGTTTGTTCTTGTGCTGGCATAGAGCTGGTTAAAACATAATTTCAGGTTACTAAATCATGGTTTATTAAGCAGAGAACAAGTGTTGGGCCCACACACTCCTCCTCCCTCATTCCAGCTTCTGTTGTGGTTTGTTTAAACCATGGTTCATCTGAACTGGGAAATTGTGATTTAATCTCTGTTTGCTAACCAGCATATGAAACCAAAATTCTCTTATTTTTACCATAGAGGATCACTGCCACAGTCTGCCACTTGGAGCTCTTTGGAAGAAAGGCAGAACACAGTTACTGATTATGGTTATGATAATTATCTTCTTGTTCTATTTCAGGCTCAGATCTTCCGCCCTTTGAAATTCAACACCACATCTGTCATTAAAATAGCTGTTGAGCCTGTCAACCCCTCTGAGCTCCCCAAGATGCTAGACGGTCTGCGTAAGGTTAATAAGAGCTACCCGTCTCTCACCACCAAGGTGTGTGCGATTGCTTTGGATGGGTGGGATGGAGAGGCAGTAGGAACAGGGAGCAGACTGCAACTTTCCTTCTCCACACTATCAAGTCCCCTTTAGGGCAGAATTCTAGGCAATCAGAAAACCTCCTGGGGCAAGGTTTTAAAAAGCACAGCTTTGAGGCGTGTGCCAATGACAAGGGTACCTGGGAGGCCAGATTCGTGGCAGGAGCTCAAGGCTCTGTTTCATTTCATTTCTTTTTTATTGGTAGGTCTTTGCTGAGATGTGCTTTTTACACTTCTGCTGTATGGCAAAGTCGAAAAGCGGGATGTGCTTTGTATAGGTGCCTCAAAATGTACCGTATTTTTTGCTCTATAAGACTCACTTTTTCACTCCTAAAAAGTAAGGGGGAATGTGTGTGCGTCTTATGGAGCGAATGCAGGCTGCGCAGCTATCCCAGAAGCCAGAACAGCAAGAGGGATTGCTGCTTTCACTGCGCAGCGATACCTCTTGCTGTTCTGGCTTCTGAGATTCAGAATATTTTTTTTCCTCCTCCAAAAAGTAGGTGCGTCTTGTGGTCTGGTGCGTCTTATATAGAGCGAAAAATACGGTAGTTACAGCGACAATGTGAGAAACAGCAATACTCATGGGTTGTGGGCATTAAGTTTGAGTGTATTACTTGGCGTGTGTTTCCTTGTGCACTGATTCTGTCTTAAATACACATTATCAGTTGCTGGTTGCCATTGGGGGTGGGGGCTAGGGATTCGGGGCTGTTCTCCTTAGGGCCTGGCTTTTTCTACACTCGGAAAAGATGGCTGTGATATTCCTTGTTTGTTCCCAGCATCCAGCACTCTGATCTACCCCAAAAGGTTCAGTCGAGCCTTCATATTCTGCTGTACGTTCCAGCTGCTAATGCAGCCCATATGAAGTTCTGAATGGTTGTCGGTTTTGTTAAGCTTATCTTGTTCATGTGCCTCCAGGTGGAAGAATCTGGGGAACACGTGATCTTGGGAACAGGCGAGCTGTATCTTGACTGTGTAATGCACGATCTGCGAAAAATGTATTCGGAGATTGATATCAAGGTACAAAAAAGATTCTCTTCCTAACTCTGATATGTTGATTTGGGGGGTGGGTGGCGTTTTCTACTTCATCTTGGTTTGCCCATCTGAATTGAACAAGGGAGGCTGGGTCCATCACTCAGTTTTTTTTATCACCTCTACCCCATTCTTCTATTCACTTTTCAAAGGTAGCTGACCCTGTTGTCACATTCTGCGAGACGGTTGTGGAAACCTCTTCCCTGAAGTGTTTTGCTGAGACGCCCAATAAAAAGTAAGATCTTTGATGAGAGTCTTAAAATGCGAGCCACGGGTGTGGTGCTATTACAAAACAAGCTAAGGCACCATCTTGCACTGAATGAACTGGCTTAGCCCTTGGGCAGCCAGAGTTGGATATACTGTGTTTAAAAAGTTTCACGTAACCTGGGAGGGAGCATGACATGATAGCCACTTGAAATTCCCTCCAGTGGCAATTGTTTTCAATTCAGCAAGCTGTTCATATTATCCCTACGGGTTGGGATATTTTCTTTATGCTGCCATAGGCAATTTTTCCAGAAGCAGAAGAAGATGTATAATTTTGCCTAGAAGGAAAGCAAGCATTTTGTTTATGTCTGCAGGCCTTTATTGCTTGCAGTTGCTATTTTGAACGAATTTGCTCCTTTCAGACTAAACTGCAGAGGCAGGAGATGCAGTAGAACAAGGTGGGACCTGTTGGGTAGAACCCCATTGGAAAATAAACCCTGGAATGGGAGAAGGGAGCCTGTGGCCCTCCAGATATCATTAGACTATGACTCCCATCATCCCTGACAGTTGGCTTTGCTAGCTGGGGCTGATGGAGTTCGGAGTTCAACACCTGGAGGGCTATAGGTTCCCTACTCTTGCCCTAGAGAGCAGATGATTAAGAGAAGATATATTGGCCCTCTTCAGTTCTTTAAAGGATCTTGAGTTGAAGAGGGGCAACAACTGTTCACCCTTATCCCCTAACAGCAGAACAAGAAAACAGCCATTTCAAACTACCAGAGCAGTCGCCTTCCTACTTTTAATTGGCTTAAATTGAAGAGCAGTTTCCCAGCGGACCAGCATTGCTTTAACCTCTTCCTCTCCAGCTGAATTGACATATGTCTTTCTGTTCCAGGAACAAGATCACAATGATAGCCGAGCCTTTGGAAAAGGGTCTGGCTGAAGACATTGAGAATGAAGTGGTGCAGATAACATGGAACAGGTATGGAGTTTGCTGAAGAGTTAACTGTGATAGACAAGTATACACACACACACACACACACACACACACACACACATTTTCTTCGCCTTCAGACACTAGGAAGTTCACCTCAGCACCTTAAGAGAGGGACTTCATCACTCTTGCTTGCATAGGGCATCCATATCTGAAACCTGCTAATGCACAAAATCATAAGAAAGCCAGGCCTTTGGAGTCAGAAGAGACAAAGTACTTCTATTAAAAATAAGTTTAAAAATAAACAAACCTACATCTTGATTAAGCAAGGCCCCACTTATTGACCTAAATGTTTTTAGTTGATTAGCCAATTAATTTAATAAACATTACTGCCATATAAAACAGTTTAATTACTTTAGAATGGTTACAGTCAAGTTTCCAATGGAAGCAGTACATTCTTACTCAGGGGTCAGCAAACTTTTTCAGCGGGGGGCCGGTCCACTGTCCCTCAGACCTTGTGGGGGGCCGGACTATATTTTTTTTTGGGGGGGAGAACAAATTCCTATGCCCCACAAATAACCCAGAGATGCATTTTAAACAAAAGGACACATTCTACTCATATAAAAACAACACTGATTTCTGGACCATCCGAGGGTCGGATTTAGAAGGCAATTGGGCTGGATCCGGCCCCCGGGCCTTATTTTGCCTACCCATTTTCTTACCTAATAAATGTGTACGGGGAAAGTAGACAAGTGTCTATCAGATTGATTCATTGCACATTTGGAGAGGGGTTGGTGAGAAAGTTAAACCAGTTAGTACTTGAGTTCCTTCAATGTTTGCATATCTCCTCCCTTTAGGAAAAAGTTGGGTGAGTTTTTCCAGACCAAATATGACTGGGATTTGCTGGCCGCCCGTTCCATCTGGGCCTTTGGGCCTGATGCTACTGGACCAAACATCCTGGTGGATGACACCCTGCCCTCAGAGGTAAGGACCCCGCCAGAGAGATTTGGGTTGGTTTTTAGCCTGCAGTGATTAAATGACTCTTACCCAGGACTGCTTCAGTTTTGCAGCCCAAGTATCAAGAGATTTCACATCCAAGAATTATCAAATCCTGTGAACCCTGAAATAAATTGTGCAAATGATGCTCATGGAGAATTGGGGTGGGGGAATCACACGGCTTGGGACGCGGGTGGTGCTGTGGGTTAAACCACAGAGCCTAGGGCTTGCCTTTCAGAAGGTCGGCAGTTCGAATCCCCGCGACGGGGTGAGCTCCCGTTGCTCGGTCCCTGCTCCTGCCAAGCTAGCAGTTCAGAAGCACGTCAAAGTGCAAGTAGATAAATATTTACCGCTCCGGCGGGAAGGTAAACGGCGTTTCCGTGCGCTGCTCTGGTTTGCCAGAAGCGGCTTAGTCATGCTGGCCACATGACCTGGAAGCTTTACGCCAGCTCCCTCGGCCAGTAAAGCGAGATGAGCGCTGCAACCCCAGAGTCGACCTAATGGTCAGGGGTCCCTATACCTTTAGCTTTAATCACACGGCTTGGGAGAAGCTGTATTTGTCTTCAGAATTTCTCCCTATGTGTTGCAAGCCAGTGGTCCAGAACGCTGGCATGCTCTGCGCTCCACCCAGACAGACTCATTTGAAGAAAGTCTTGGCTCGAGGCTAGACTAAGAGATGACTCCCATTTTGTCCCTTTCTCCTGCCTGCACAGAGATGCATGCAGGTCACCTGGTCTGCTGCACTGACAGAGCAAGCAGATGTGAAAAAGGAAGGACACTCTGTCTGTAAAGCCTTTTAGCTCCAACTTCCTAAGAGACCTTGAACTGACCTCATGGCTGTGTTTCACCACTCTCTCCCCTGCCTGTAAATTTTCTGCAGAGGGAGCTTCAGTGCCACATATTTCAGTTCGCACACAGAGATTAACTTCTCCTTGCTGCTACTGCTACTTCAGCTGCTATGTGTGTTTTTCTTCTTTTACAGGTTGACAAAACCCTCTTGGGTTCCGTGAAGGACAGCATCGTGCAGGGCTTCCAGTGGGGGACCAGGGAAGGGCCCCTTTGTGATGAGTGTAAGTAAAAGATCTAGAAAGATTAACTTGTCCTGGGGATTTTCAGATCCATCCCACCCAAACTGCGTTTTCTACCAAAAGTGAAACCGTCGCATATTAGTGGGTCTCAAATGACAGTGACTCCAGACTTTTCTCAGCAGCAGCCTTGTGACTCGTGCCCAGATTCCTCTAGGGAAATGTGAACTTTTCCCAGAGATTAATCCAGAGTCCTTTCCTAATTTGTTCTTATTTGGACTGTGACTCTGGAATGCACACAGAAATTGGAGACAGAAGCAAACAGAGGTTTAGCTTGTGTTTGGTTTTATCAGTGGTCAACGCGATTCAAAAAAACCTTTGAATAATTAGGGGGCTTTTGAACTCTCTGTTGTACCTCAGAAAAAAAGACTCTAAGCAGCAGAAAGTTCACTTGTGTAAATTTTAGAATGTGAGGTTCAGCACAAAGGGCCTTCTGGAAGTTCCCTCACTGCAAGAAGTAAAGCTACGAGGAACCAGGCAGAGGGACTTCTCGGTAGTGGTGCCCACCCTGTGGAATGCCCTCCCTTCAGATGTCTAGGAGATGAGTTACAACCTTTAGAAGACATCTGAAGGCAGCCCTGTTCAGGGAAGTTTCTAATGCTTGATGTTTTATTATGCTTTTATATTTGTTGGAAGCCGCCCAGTGTGGCTGAGGCAACCTAGTCAAATGGGCATTGTACAAATAATAAAATTATTATTAAGCTGAGACTCGCACAAAACAACAAGAAAAGGATATGGTTAAAGTCTCCTGCAATTCCCTGGTATATGTCAGGGGCTGGACTGAGGAGGAATGGTGGGGACCGCCCCACCCCCTTCTCCTGAACCTTCCCAAGAACAGGAGAGCAGTATAGTTTTACAGCAGTGGTTTGCAGAAGGTCAGAGTTCAGAGGCTGCAGAGGGGAGAAGCTGGGAAATATTGGGAAAGGAACAGCAGGAAGAAGAAGAACCAGGGGAGGAGGCAGCTGACAGACTCAGTTTCTTTGAAAAGCATTCCTGACGCCCCTCTCCCAGGACAAAGTGGGCATTCAGAGTAGTAGAACAGAAAGCACAGAGGCAGAAAGCTCAGATCAGCTGATGCAGGGATGACGTATAATAGGAGAGGCGGGGGTGGGGTTTTACTCAGAGCATCGCCATTATTCTAAGGACTGCATTCCTTTGTCTTTCTGTGTGAATACTGAATAAATGACTTGGTAAGAACTCTTTTTGTTTATCTGCTTCTTGGCTGCCCACTGTGGGAGGGATCGGAGTCCCTGCAGCCTGAGCGTAGGCTTGCCAGCCAAAACCTTTCCAACCCCACGTCTCTCATGGTATCCCTTGCTTCCTTTCACCCCAGTGATCCGCAATGTGAAATTCAAGATCCTGGACGCTGTGATTGCCCAGGAACCGTTGCACCGGGGAGGTGGGCAGATCATCCCAACAGCCAGGCGGGTTGTGTATTCTGCCTTCCTCATGGTAAGAACTGCCCTGCAGTGCCTCGCGTGTCCCCACTGCTGAGCAGCCCTAATAATAATAATAATAATAATAATAATAATAAAATTTTATTTAATAAAATTTTATTTATACCCTGCCCTTCCTGGTTCAAAAACCGGGCTCAGGGCAGCTAACAACAAATTAAAAACACTTAATTATAAAATCAGCATAAAATACAGTATAAAAACATGAATAACTATAAAATTCAAAAATCAATTTAGGGGAAATAAGCATTAGATAATCACCAGGGTTAGCTGGCTGAATTGGTCCTACTTGGGCCAGCAAGGAGACCAGGGGAGAATTAGCTGTGGGGTCTCAGAGCGGATGATCTTCATAAAAGGGGAGGGGAAGGGAAGGGAAGGGAAATAAAAGATCAGGCTGAATTCAAATTAAAGGCCAGGCGGAATAGCTCTGTCTTACAGGCCCGACGGAAGGAGGTTAAATCCTAGCAGATTTTTCTCCTTTGAGGTTGTTCTTTTGGCACAGCTGACTAGCAGCAGCAGGGAAATGGACGCAGTAACTGCAAAGGGAACTGCCTTTTTAGTTCCCTTGCCGCCTCTCTGAAAGATAACTTGTCTCCTGTCCTCATAATGTGCAGTTTTTGGAAGTCTTCACTGTGCAAAAGGCACTTGGAGGCCAGTCCCCACCCCCCAAATCTGACCAGGGCATGTTTATCAGTGCTGTCTGCTAATAGCAGCAATGGAGACAAGAAGGAGCTCCTGCACCCTGACGCTGCTGTCACCTGCTGATGCTAAAGACTCCTCCCTTGTGTTCTCTTCAGGCCACCCCACGGTTGATGGAGCCATATTACTTCGTGGAAGTCCAGGCCCCTGCAGATTGCGTCTCTGCAGTATACACGGTCCTGGCCAGGCGCAGGTGAGTGGCAGCCATGTTGGTTAACTCCTTAGTTTCCGTGTTGCTTTAGGTTCAAAATGCTCCCCTTTAGCTTGTTCTCGGAGATCTGTTGCCTGCCGACATTTGGTGGAAATTCAGCTGTTGAAATGTGTAGTCCGAAATACAGTGGTACCTCGGGTTAAGAACTTAATTCGTTCTGGAGGTCCATTCTTAAACTGAAACTGTTCTTAACCTGAGGTACCACTTTAGCTAATGGGGCCTCCCGCTGCTGCCGCCGCCGTGCGATTTCTGTTCTCATCCTGAAGCAAAGTTCTTAACCCGAGGTACTATTTCTGGGTTAGCGGAGTCTGTAACCTGAAGCGTCTGTAACCCGAGGTACCACTGTAATAGTAGGAAAGCGGTTGGGTGTCCTTTTCTTGTCTGCATGAAGGAAGAGGAGATGGGGCTGCCGTTTTTTGGTTTCCTCCATAATAGCTCATTCTGACCTGAGTACCAAATACTGGGGTCAGATAGGATGCTTTTCTCCACCCTGCCTTGCTTGTGACCTTCACTGGGCATCTTGATGCTGGAGACGGTGTCTTGTGCTGGTCTGCCTCAGATGCTTACATTCCTATTCTTTCTCCCCCAGAAATACCAAACATCCCATTTCAGTTCTGTGTTTTACTACATGTGTTGTAACTGCATAGCTGTGCTTGTGAGTCTTTCCTCTTTGCCCACTTCTCTGCTGAAACTTGCCATCTTCCTTTGCCCCCCCACCCCCCCCCGGGGCAAGTCTCCTGAGTTGGGATTGGGGCATTTTGGCAAGCAATCAAGGGGGAAACTAATGTCTTTTTTTTCTTTTGCAGAGGCCACGTGACCCAAGATGCACCAATCCCAGGTTCCCCTCTGTACACCATCAAAGCCTTCATCCCAGCTATTGACTCCTTTGGGTTTGAGACAGACCTCAGGACACACACCCAGGGACAGGCATTCTCACTGTCTGTCTTCCACCACTGGCAAGTAAGTGGCACAGGGGCTTGTTGGTAGATAGCAAAGGAAGAGGCCAGCGCTCCAAGTCTCAAGCTTTGCATTTGATTTCCCAGGCTGCCAAGTTCTTTAATTCATAGGCAGGTTCTCCCCTGTGCGAGCAGCAGGAAGTCCGCCTAATTTGAACTGTGTTCTCCTTGCACCCCATATTCTTTGTCAAGAAAAGGTGAATTCTGGAAGTGGAAGGCGCAGGCAGAATATAAAATGGAAGAAAGGTATAAAGAGGTGTGGGATATAGCTATTAATGATAAATTAACATGTGCCATTAAGGTAGGACAGGGAATAGCAGGAGAAATTATTTTGAGGAGATACGGAAGGTGTGTGTAGAAATTGCACTGTTAAAACGGAAAGGGGTCAAACCATCGCAAGAGGTGTTGAAATTTTGGGAGGGTGGATAGTTACAATGGAATGGTCGTGGGGTGCACATTTTTATTCTTATTTATGATTATTACTTTGTTAAAAAAATTAAGGATGTAAAAAGAAAAATTGAATTCTATATCCTGCTTTATATATATTGGCACATTTGCTTATTTTGCATACATTCTGCTTTTTTGCAGCAATTTATTCCACTTAAGGGAGGGGGGTAAAAAAGCAGTGTGCAGCACTGAAGTCCTTACCTCCTTATCTCTGTGGCTAGGGGAAGGTCCTTTGCAACCTGCCCCACTGCTTTTCTCCTGCCTCTTTTGTCCTTGTGAAGATGTTGGCAGCAGTGGAAGAGCGTGATGCTTCCTGCAGCCTGGGCTGCAAATATTTCAAACCTTGTGTCGTCATAACCCCTCTGGACAGGCCTTTCCTGCTTCCTTCTGTCTTTCTCCATTCCTGTGATCCATATAAATAGCTGGTTGATCCCGTTTTTAGAAAGGCCCTTTTTTAGATGTAAAACAGTAAGAGGTTGCGAGGCTGTGGTGTGATATATGATGTGGAGAATGCTGTTCAGAGTGGGGGGGGGTGGTCCCCTTTATGGTCCCTTCCAGGTCTGTAAGTCTATTAAAATGACTTCGGTGATGCTCTGGAAGCCTCCCAAGATTTCCACTTAACCTGCCATGTGAATCATGGATATTTGTGGATTCTCTGTGCGCCTAGGAATCCAAGGTACTTAAAATTCCTTAACACACACTGTGTGCTCCTTACATTTCAGATTGTGCCTGGTGACCCCTTGGACAAGAGCATTGTGATCCGACCTCTGGAGCCCCAGCCAGCCCCACATCTGGCCAGAGAGTTTATGATCAAAACCAGGCGCAGGAAGGTAAGTCTTATGGTTAGGGTTTGCCTCCGCTGGCCTCTGCAGCTCTTGCCCTGCAATGAAGCATAAAAACACACACACCTCCTCTTGCTTCCAGTCTAATGCTTTGACATCCTATTCTCCCCCAGGGGCTAAGTGAGGACGTGAGCATCAGCAAGTTCTTCGACGATCCTATGTTGCTGGAGCTGGCCAAACAGGATGTGGTGCTGAACTACCCCATGTGATCAGGCTGCCCCCACTGGGCAACAGCATTTTCCCAGGCAAGACTCCAGTATCCTCCTCCTTGCCATGTTAACTTCCTGTGTGTAAGACATTGCTGTGTGTCTTTCAGTGCTGCAGTCCTGCTGCCATAGCAGCTGTTTGCCACAGAAGTTTTGCGTTGTCAAGGCAGGCTCCCTGCCATGTTGTGAACAAACTCCACTGATCCTTTTGCCTTCTCTTGGCCAGGCTTCAGATTTGCCAAGTATGTCTTGTATATCCCCCAAAGCCTGCCTCTGTGAGGAGAACTCGGTGTCTTGGGAGACTTGATCCTTGAGTCCTCTTAAGCTTCCCACAGTGATCCTCTTTTCCCTAATAAAAGCAGCTTTTTTATTTTTGTTTCCAAAACATTTCTCCACACTGTGCTCATCCATCCTCCTCCCAAGCAGCACTGGCAGAGCTGATCAAATATTTTTGGGGATTGTAGCCTTTCCCAGTCAGACTGAATTGTGACTTCATGCTCTGCCCCCTGATGGAGAGGTGATTCCTTGCCAACCAGTTCCTGTTTGGATGGCGAAAAGGGGCAAGAACCCACCCCAAACACTTGGCTATTTAAAATTCTCTGCAAGTGAACATGTGCTGCCATCCCTGTACAAGCTTCGGCAGAGGCCCCCTCCTTTCGGTGAAGCTGCCAGCATTCTGAAGTTTGATTTTGTCCATTTGATTGGGTGTTTGGCATGGAGGGGGGCCAGGAGTGTACAGAGAATAAATATTTTTTACTTAATTGTAATAGGTGACGATAAAAGCATTCTGGTCTAGTTCTTGGTTCTGCTCTGTGCCTGTTGGTGTGAGTGAATGAGTGAGATCTACTGCGCATGTGTTGTCTGCTCTCTCTCCTCTTCCTGCCCCTGCCAAGCTTCCTTGGAAATCCTACATGTCCACTTCAAAGTGTTTTGACCCAGTTCTTGAGTTTTGTTAGCAATCTCTTCCAAATTAGAAGGATTTTGCAGAGGCCTTCTGCTGAGTCAGCCTTCCTAGCCCAGTACATGCAGGTCTCACTATCCCAGTGGTGTCCAAACTTTTTTCAAAGAGGGACAGATTTGATGAAGTGAAGGACCCTGAGGGCCAACCAAAGTTGTTATCCTTTTTTTGAAGTTGTTGAGCTTTTTGTATGATTTTACCCCAAGAAATGGGACGTGGGAGGCGCTGTGGGTTAAACCACAGAGCCTAGGACTGGCTGATCAGAAGGTCGCGGTTCGAATCCCCGCAACGGGGTGAGCTCCCTTTGCTCGGTCCCTGCTCCTGCCAACCTAGCAGTTTGAAAGCACGTCAAAGTGCAAGTAGATAAATAGGTACCGCTCCGGCGGGAAGGTAAACGGCATTTCCGTGTGCTGCTCTGGTTTGCCAGAAGCGGCTCAGTCATGCTGGCCACATGACCCGGAAGCTGTACGCCGTCACAACCCCAGAGTCGGCCACAACTGGACCTAATGGTCAGGGGTACCTTTACCTTTACCTTTACTATGCCCCAAGGCCACAAAATAGAATTGGGAATAAATTTAGAGGAATAACATGATTGCTAACTCCTTCATTGCTTGTCTGTAGATGTGAGAGAACTAGAAGTACCAACAGAAGGGAATTTTACAGGGAGACAGAGAAACAGAGAACAAACAAGCTATACTCACTCCCTCGGCCAATAAAGCGAGATGAGCACCGCAGCCCCAGAGTCGGCCACGACTGGACCTAATGGTCGGGGGTCCCTTTACTTTTACCCCACAAATAAACTGCCCCAGGGGCCGGATTGAATTGACCGGCAGGCCGGATTAGGCCCCCAAAATGGGCTTTGGACATGCCTGCAGTCTCCAAACAAAAATTATACAAAAATTCACTTATCCAAACAATGAGGAATTCGTATCCAAGCCTCATTATACAAACCACAGATTCAGTGGTACTGGACCTGCACGTAGTAATGTAAACAAATAAGCAGACTTAAACAAGTCTTATTTTATTGTGTTTTGCTTGTTTGTCACCAGACACCATGGTGAGCAGGAAGGATCAGAAAAATAAGAGAGGATTTTTCCTTCCTTGTTTGCCTTTTGCAAGGTTTCAGATGAGATTTTTCATCATTTGGGGGTCAAAATTCCGTGGCTGGGAACACATTGGAAAAATTTCCCATAGGAACCCATGGAAATTGTTGGCTCATTATGCAAACGCTCACCTGACAAATGATTTCCTGAGAACATGTCGCGTTCAGATGGCGAGACTTGCGTATACTGTCTGCTCTGAATTACAGCAGCTCCCCAGGCACTGCTTTTAACTCGGAAGTTAGGGGTGAGCCTTGAGATGACACCAACAAATTGTTCAGGGTGGCAGGAACAAAAAATGATGGTTGCCGTGAGCTCCGAAAGTATCTCTTCAAACTGGGTGAATGGGAAGTGAAATGGCAAATGCAATTCAATGTAAGCAAATGTAAAGTCATGCACATTCAGGAAGAAACCCTAACTTCACATACGGGATCTGGGCTGATCATGGACTATCCAGGAGAAAAATCTTCCTTTGTGTAATGGGTCGCTCGATGGAAATGACCCAAGTGTGGAGCTGCTGTGAGAGATCTGAATTCCGTGTTACAGATAGTGAGGAAAGGGATTGGAAATAAAACTGCAAAATATCATAATGCTATGATACAAACCACACTTGAAAGTTCTGGTTACTATACCTCTAATTGGATATTGTAAAAGTGATAAAGGCTCATAAAAGGACAACCACAATAAGGGGGTTGGAACAGCAGCTCCCCTATGAGAAATAATAATATTTATTTATTTATATGCCACCAATCTGACTAGGTTGCTTCCAGCAAATTATAAAACCACAGTAAAACATCACACATTAAGAACTGCCTTCAGGTGTCTTCTAAAAATCAGGCAGTTGTTTATTTTCTTGACATCTGATGGGAGGGCGTTCCGCAGGGCGGGTGCCACTCACGAGAAGGCCCCTCTGCCTGGTTCCCTGTAACCTTGCGTCTCACAGTGAGGGAACCGCCAGAAGACCCTGGGAGCTGGATCTCAGTGCCTGGGCTGAAGGGTGGGGGTGGAGACACTCCTTCGGGTAAAATATTACACCATTTGGCACTTAAAAGTTTAGAAGGAAAGGCAAGTATAGCAGGAAACGGATGTATAAAAATCAATACAAAAGTGGGCAGGGAGCAGATATTCCTTCCTCTTCAAATACTTCAATACTCCCTCTCCCTGCCCCATGCAATTCTTTGCATTTCTACCGCACAGCAAAAAAAGTCTACTTCTGTTTCTGTGGCATTTCACTAGTTGGGTGTGGATTTATATTCCTCCATGTCTCTGCTTTATAAAAGCACTTAGCCAGCCCTGTCATCTTCTATTAATTTTCCCTACTCTTGGAATATCACATTTCCAGAAGGTCTGCTGAAAATATTTGTCTTGTCTACAAATGTACACATGCAGAAATATATCAATGTTCAAAGAAACGTTTATTCGAATGAATAATGCCTTTGTAAGCCATCTTACCAAATATGTGCATTTTAATGCCTTTTCAAGCAAGGTAATTTTTAAATTGCATTTAAAATAGTGACATTAGATGTTAATATTGCCCTTAATACATATACAGGACAGAGCTGCTATAAAATGTGCTTAGGTGCAGAGGTAATCTTAAAAAAAAAAAAAAAGGAAATTATACAGCAGACACTTCACAAGAGCAGCTCAGTTTGCATTAAAATAGGGATTATTTTTGCAGCCAGAGTCAAGCGAATCTTCGCTTGTCAGTGTGAATTTCCTTTTTATGCACACCCGTGCCGGAGTCGCATGCTTTATTACGAATTGGATTTTGTGCCATTTGGAGAGGGTTTGTTTTTCCTGTTTAGAAACTGCAGGGTAGGGACTTCAGTGCGATGAAAGAAGGCAATTGTCACACTTAGAATGCGAGAAGGGGGACATGGCTTCAGGAGAAGCAGACTAGGCAACTATTATCCTCTCCTTGGGCAAAGGGAGGCGTTAGCTACTCGATAATCCCTGGAGGGTCTTTTGCAGTCCTCTGTTTCCACAAGGATTCCCTTTCACTTCTCAAAACTTTAAAAATATATACATGTACATCGGGATTTTAGGGGAACATATATAAGCCGTATCAGTAAGCAGTTGAGGCTGCAGGGGACTTCTTTCTCTTGCTAGAGCAAACCACATGATCTTGCAGCCCTGCTGGAGTTGCCGCCGGGGGTATTCAGATCCATTCAGGGAGAAGGGACAAACCAATGCCATCCATGTCTCATCTATTTTTGTTTGGGGAAGTGGTCTTTGTACATGCTGTAGACAGCGCCTAGGAGAGAGAGCAAAGGAGTTGGCGCAAAGGAGACAATCGGAATACGGCCTGTAGAGAAAACAGCTTTTTGTCTCCAACATGGAAGTTGGCTTAGTGCTGCCTTTGCTAGTCAGGAGGGGCAAGGAATTATTCAAAGCAACGAATGGCCACCCCTTTCCACCCTCACAAGCCTTGAAGGGCGATTGGATGGCTCCCTTAGTCCCTCCTGGCATTTCTGACCCCTTTTCAAACTGAGCTTTCCAGCTCTAATGGCTAGAGAAACGTTTTCTAAATGCTGGAAGTCTCAGCATTCTTTATCCGTGCAGTCTTGGGCCTGATTGCAGAATTGTCTTAACAAAATGTTCTTGGTCAGAATCGAACCTGCCTTCTGCTCCTCTGGCTTTCAAGGAAAAAAACAAATCTTTTATATAAGTTATTTTCTGTTTTGTGGGCGGCCCGCTGCAGTATCTCCTTACTCACTGCTGTTTTATAATACTTTTTTAAAAAAATAAATAAAACACATTTATTCAAAAGTTCCAATATAGCTTTTTTCCTTACTGCCATAATATCACAGAATGACACTCCATTCCTCAGTTCCTCATCACTGTCCTGTTGACTCGCCAGATACCCTCAATAGGAACCCAACTACCAATCTGATTTACTAGACATTTTCAATTCAGGCTTGTTGGGCTTTCATGGTACAGGAAGTGCCGCTTCCAAACCTAGATGAGTGGAGCTTAATTCATCTTGACCGCTGAGGGGACAGTACACTGAATGTCCTTGGAGGGGCACTTTCCCCACAGAGGCAAAGAACTGCACCCCTCTCCCAAGACCAGTGTAGAAGATGGAGCTTAGTTTGCCTGTTCAGCAAACTGACTTGGATGCTCTATCTGTGGCAGGGAGTCACATTAGGCCATTTGCACACGGAGGGATGATGTTTATGTGAACCAAAGGGTTAAAGGCTCAGCCCCCCCCCCCCCCCGGGATAATCATTCCAGAAGACCTGGTACACATGCAAGACCTTGCCCTCTGGCAGTCATTGCAGTTGCAAACTCAGGTCCTCTCCTGCTCCCACACCCAGTGCTTAACGCCTCCCTTCTCTTCGTCCCCGCCTTACCAAGTGTTATGGCTCCAACCACACAGGCCTGGGCAGCTACCCGAGTGTGAATCAGGTGGACAGACATCTTCATATTCCCCCTTGCCTTCAGCCGGTAAATTCCGTAGGCTGCCACAACCACAAACCCCATCATGCCTGCAAGGTCAAAGAAGCCATAGAACCATATCTCTGAATAGGTCCCTGTGCAAGTCCAGTAGCCTGTCCCACCTCCTTTGGGTAAGGCACTTTCTATACTGCCTATACCTAAAGACCTATACCTTCCAACCTAGCAGTTCGAAAGCACGTCAAAGTACAAGTAGATAAATAGGTACTGCTCCGGCGGGAAGGTAAATGGTGTTTCCATGTGCTGCTCTGGTTCGCCAGAAGTGGCTTAGTCACGCTGGCCACATGACCCGGAAGCTGTACGCCGGCTCCCTTGGCCAATAAAGCGAGATGAGCGCCACAACCCCAGAGTCGGCCACGACTGGACCTAATGGTCAGGGGGCCCTTTACCCTTTACCTTTACTGCCAGTAGACAGGACTGATACTTGTCCAAACTCCAAGGAAGAAAGCATCTGACCCTCATTTTAAGCAGCCTATTGCAATACTAGTCACGTTCCCCACTTAGGAGACTCACCCGAATAATTTCTTTATTGCCCGTGAGTTGAATGGTTGCATATAATGCCAACAAGAAAGGAGCTTGAATCTAATGCCCAATGTAGTTTTAGATGTCTGGCTATTCATATCTTTGCATGGATTGCTTCTCCCTTTGCTGGGAGCGCTGTAAACAATGAAAATATTTGCAAGCTGTTTATCCATGATTTTTGGTCAAGATAGAACTGTGTGTCCAGCTCTCTCTCCCCCCCCCCCCTTATTTTCTTTCTTGTGGCATTCAGTTTCAGAGAAAAAAGTTTTTTGGGGGGTTGGGGTCAAGGCTATTTGCCAGAGACAGCAAAGGGCAACAGCAAATATGCTTTGAAAGCAACTGAAAGAATGCAGTGGCAAAGGATGTACTTTGTAATAATAATAATAATAATATTATAATATTAAATTATTATTTATACCCTGCCCATCTGGCTGGGTTTCCCTAGCCACTCTGGGCAGCTTCCAACAGAATATTAAAATACAATAGTCTATTAAACATTAAAAGCTTCCCTAAACAGGGCTGCCTTCAGATGTCTCCTAAAAGTCTGGTAGTTGTTTTTCTCTTTGACATCTGTTGGGAGGGCGTTCCACAGGGCAGGTGCCACTACTGAGAAGGCCCTCTGCCTGGTTCCCTGTAATTTGGCTTCTTGCAGCGAGGGAACCTCCAGAAGGCCCTCGGTGCTGGACCTCAGTGTCCGGGCAGAACGATGGGGGTGGAGACGCTCCTTCAGACGCTTTGTAGGCAGAAGGTCTTGGGATTCAGCTCAGGCAGCTAAAGGCTTCCAGTCTTGGAAGATCATAGGCAGGAGCGAAACTAGGCTTTATTTCACCCGGGTCAAAGACCCAGTTTGGCACCCCCCCATGTGCATTTACGCGTGCACACAGGCCGGGAACTTCAATGGCACCCCTCTCAAGGCTCCACCAGGGCGAAAGAACCTAGCTATCTCCCCTCATAGCTACAGCACTGTCAGTAGGCAATGTTGGGTTAGATCAGGGCTGAGGAACATCTCGCTCCCCAGATGCCAGCTTGCCTCAGCCACCATAGCCAATGATCAGGAGTTGTGCATGCACAGGGTGGGCCACAGATCTCCCACCACTAGGCTGAATAGACCAACAGTTTGTAAAAAGCAGTTTCATATGTTCAAAAGGCCACATTTCCTACACGGCACACCTGTAGTCCCATTAAAAGACCCCGGTTGGATCAGGCCAGAATTCCAGACCCTTCAAGTGTCCCTATTTTCTTGGATTTACAGAAGCAATCCCAGTTTCTGATTTGATCCCGGAATGTCCTGCTTTTCCTTAGGACGTCCCTGTTTTCATCAGAGTAATGGGTTATGGAGTTATGTGACCCCCACCCCCACCGCCAAGCCAAGGAGATAAGTAAACAGCCTCAGCCCAGTATACCTGAAGGAGCGTCTCCACCCCCATCGTTCAGCCCGGACACTGAGGTCCAGCTCTGAGGGTCTTTCGACGGTTCCCTCCCTGTGAGAAGTGAGGTTATAGGGAACCAGGCAGATTGTCTGACTTTTAGGAGACATCTGAAGGCAGCTCTGTTGAGGGAAGTTTTTAATGTTTGATGTTTTGTGGTGTTTTAAATATTTTGTTGGGAGCCGCACAGCGTGACTGGGGAAACCCAGCCAGATGGGCAGGGTATTAATAATAATAATAATAATTTATTATTATTAGCTATACAGCCTTTAGAAGACATCTGAAGGCAGCCCTGTATAGAGAGGTTTTTTAATGTTTAATGTTTTATTGTTTTTGTATATATTTCATATATATTGGAAACCACCTAGAATGGCTGGGGCAATCTGGTTAGATGGGTGGGGTATTATTACTATTCTTATTTATTGAATAGGTAAAGGTAAAGGGACCCCTGACCATTAGGTCCAGTCGTGGCCGACTCTGGGGTTGCGGCGCTCATCTCGCTTTATTGGCCGAGGGAGCCGGCGTACAGCTTCCGGGTCATGTGGCCAGCATGACTAAGCCGCTTCTGGCAAACCAGAGCAGCACACGGAAACGCCGTTTTACCTTCCCGCCTTACCTATTTATCTACTTGCACTTTGACGTGCTTTCGAACTGCTAGGTTGGCAGGAGCAGGGACCGAGCAACGGGAGCTCACCTCGTCGCGGGGATTCGAATCGCCGACCTTCTGATTGGCAAGTCCTAGGCTCTGTGGTTTAACTCACAGAGCCACCCGCGTCCCTATTTATTGAATAGGACGTACCTATTTTCATCAAAGAAATGTTGGAAGGTGTGGAATCCCATCTAGTCCAACTTCCTGTTTCGCAGTGGCCAACCTGATGTCTCTGAGAAGACCAGAAGCAAGACCCGATTGCAACAGCAACAGTCTCTGCTTGTGATTCCCAGCAACTGACAGAATATAGCCATCATGGCTAGTACAGTGGTGCCTCGCAAGACGAAATTAATCCGTTCCGCGAGTCTCTTCGTCTTGCGGTTTTTTCGTCTTGCGAAGCACGGCTATTAGCGGCTTAGCGGCTATTAGCGGCTTAGTGGCTTAGCGGCTATTAACGGCTTAGCGGCTTTAAGAAAAAGGAAACAAACTCGCAAGAACTCGCAAGACGTTTCGTCTTGCGAAGCAAGCCCATAGGGAAATTCGTCTTGCGGAACAACTCAAAAAACGCAAAACCCTTTCGTCTAGCGAGTTTTTCGTCTTGCGAGGCATTCGTCTTGCGGGGCACCACTGTAGCTTTATCCTTAAAATAATAATTTGCATGTTACTCTTTTAAAGTTTCCCACTCCCACCCCTCTTTGATGCCTTACATAGATTTGAGTCGTAGACGTGAGTCTTCAGACCACATTAGGTTCCCTACCTTTCTTCACCAGTGGGAGCATCCTTGGTTCTTCCCCCTCTGCAATTGAGCTAAGAGAAGGTCACGCACAGATTCCTACAGAGAGGCGCTTCAGGCTCCCCAAACTTACCAACTGGCACCAGAGGGCTGTTCCGTGCCTTTTGAAAGAGTTTGGCACTAACCGTGGTTTCATGCTCTGGAATCCAGCTGTCCTTGTCAGTTGACATTGAGCGCTGTAGAAATCAATTTCAAAGATACAGAACCAAAGAGAAAAATTACTACCTAATCTTCGTCAAATTTCGCTGTAAAGATCCTTGCGTCATCGTCATTTCATTCGTAGGCCACCTTCCCACAGTTAAAAGCATAGCTAAGGTGTACATAACATAACAAAAGTAGTCCTAAACAATGAATAAAGCGGATAAAAAACTTCCCAACCAAACTTAACAATTTCCACATACGTCAAAATAAGATTAAAAAATGAAGATACAAAAATTGATATCAATAACGGCAACAAAATACCCAAACCAAACCCATTAAGGTACTTCCATAACAGGCAGGAAACTGATGTTTGGTCTAAATGAAGTATACACCCCCCATAGGAGCCAACTTCTAGAGGCTGAGGGATCTTCAGCCCCCCAATAAAATATTTGAGGGAGCTGGGGGCCCCAAAAACTGATAGGCATTGGCATTCAAATGGTGTATGTGCACTGCATCGTGTGATCGATTATGTGGGGTGGGGGCTTACCTGAAACCCCCCCCTGCAATATTTTCAAGTTGGCACCCCTGCAACCCCCCTGATTGCTATAAAGAACTCAACGTTTGTATAAGCATCTCTTGGAACAAGCCACATGAAGTCTGCTTAATATCTGCTAGGACTCGAAAATAATCTGGCATGGATGAGTTGGAAAATTGAAACAGACTAAGACTGGGAAAAGAGTGGGAGCTTCCACTGGCAGCCAAGAACATCTCTTAAGTTGGAATATTGAAAAGCTATCAACAGATCCTCAAGCTGAGGCTCCAATACTTGGCCCACCTCATGAGAAGAGAAGACTCCCTGGAAAAGACCCTGATGTTGGGAAAGATTGAGGGCACTAGGAGAAGGGGACGACAGAGGACAAGATGGTTGGACAGTGTTCTCGAAGCTACAAACATGAGTCTGACCAAACTGCGGGAGGCAGTGGAAGACAGGAGTGCCTGGCGTGCTCTGGTCCATGGGGTCACGAAGAGTTGGACACGACTAAACGACTAAACAACAACAAAAGAACTACCCAAAAGATAGGTAAGCTCCAATATAGGACAGCACACACACCGGTATTTCCAGATCTTATCCAATTGTGTCCTCGTGTCAAGGGCTCCAGTTAGGCGACCCGTCGTGCATTACCATAAAGAGAGAGCGGTGCTGCCAAAACTGAGGAAGCATGCCATCTAAAGAAGAGGGCACCATTTTGCATGTGCTAATCAGATAGATAGATAGATAGATAGATAGATGCCAATTTAGAAATAATTGTTGTTGTTGTTTAGTCGTTTAGTCATGTCCGACTCTTCATGATCCCATGGACCAGAGCACGCCAGGCACTCCTGTCTTCCACTGCCTCCCGCAGTTTGGTCAAACTCATGCTGGTAGCTTCGAGAACACTGTCCAACCATCTCGTCCTCTGTTGTCTCCTTCTCCTTGTGCCCTCAATCTTTCCCAACATCGGGGTCTTTTCCAGGGAGTCTTCTCTTCTCATGAGGTGGCCAAAGTATTGGAGCCTCAGCTTCAGGATCTGTCCT